ATAGTATAAATAGATCAAAGATGAAAACTTGTCACTAAACTTTAATAATTAAAGCTCTACGCATAAATTACACGCAACATCCTTCAATGCAATCTCCTTTTGTCTTATTTAACAATTAAATTAGAAAAATCGAGACAAGTATACTGACTCAATTTATGTAGAATTGTAGGTTAGGTTCCCTCTATACAAACATATATGTATGTAATTACTCTAAGGCTCTAACTCTGAATTTGACATGTGGCAACCATGAAGTGACAATACTGAGTGACAACCATAGACAAAATATACTGGCTATGGAGTGTAGAGTACAAGGAGTACCATCTTATAAGGGGCGAAAGTTGAAAAAGTGTCCTACTATTTACTGAAAATAGAGGTTTCAAAACCTACCACAATAGCTCTGGCGTCTGAAAAACTACAATATGAAGATAGCTGTTGCGAACGGAGTGAAGTCAGCTGAATTCAAATATTTAAAAAATTTCATGTTTAGAGTAGTTAGTAAATTGCCAGTATACAAAATCTCAACTATTTATGTAGTACAAAACCAAGCGGATTGGTCGGTCCTTGTTTATTTCTCCATCTTATTCTAATTACTTTTGGCGCTTTTTTTTAATTTATCCTATGCTACTGCAGCGCCACCCTTATTGGACACGTTTTTAGGGACACTTTTCATATATAGAGATGGTCCTCCTTCTCTCTACACTTTGTAATACTGGCGTATATACGACCTGACATCCCGAACCTGAAAACGCGTGACTAATTTTGATTTGTCATTGTGTGCGTTAGCTAGTGATGTATATTTTACTTACAAGGACTATTGAAAAAAATTGTTAAGGAAGGGGTAAAAATATTTAAAAAAATAGTTTAGTGCACGAAATTGAATAACTACAAAAATTAATTGAATTTTTACCATGAGGGTTCTAAAATAATTAAAAAATATTCATATGAGACGTTACTGTTTTGTTATTTCAAATGTAAAAAATCCTAGGTGACTCTACCGATAAACTTAAAAAAACTCCCCAAGAATCAGATCGCAAAGTGGCATTTTCGAGTTATGGTCGTTGGAGAAAAATATTTACTGCAATGGACAATTTCCCCGGAATTTATTTTTTAAGATATTATTAATAGAAATAGGTAGATACTTAACTAAGTATATACCTATTTATATTTTATATATTTTACAAAATGTTTTGATGGGGAAAAAACGGGGACACAGAGTATATAATGGCTGCTTTATTTTTCATATAAGTATTACATTTGAGAATTACAAACAATCAACGGTTAAATATATTATAGAAGTTTATTTTACCATTCGACTTAAATATGAATGTAAACTTAAAACACATGAGTAAAGAAACCGACCAGAGGGGAAGCTACATACAAACGGCTCGCTGCGAATACACCCATGCATAGCGCAGCGATGTATGCGTGACCTCTCACCGACAGGTTCACCGACGCTCCGTCGGGGTACAAATCGGTTTGCGCCGGCTCAATCAGAGTATCCATGAAAGGGCTGTTAGTCGTGCGCATTTAAATAAATAGACCAACAATACTTCGAAATTTTATACATCAATTAATTTATTAAGTTTTTTTGCAGTTTTTAAATAATTAGATTGAAGTATTTTAATTAAAATAATTAAGAATTAAGTTATTATAATTTTATATAGTTATTATTATTTAACTATATAAAATTAATTCTTAATTATTAAAAAAAATTATTACTTAATTCTTAATTATTTTAATTAAAATACTTCAATCTAATTATTTAAAAATTGCAAAAAAACTTAATAAATTAATGTGTTCTGTATAAGCAAAAATGCCTAATAGTTGTACAGTGTGCATGAATAATTCTAGAGGAAATAAGGATATTTTCTTTTTTTGTACCCGAGAGATCAAGTGAAATATGTACCCTTTTACGTATTATATACACTATATTATATTTTAATTTTTTCCTTATTGTTTAAAATTAATCGATACGAAACAGCTCTTGATTTCGAACAATTAATAGATATGTTGTTACATTAATATAAGTTATAATTAATATACATGTTGTCTTATGCTATACAATATTTTTATTTTTTCCTTAAATTTTTCACATGTATCATGTGACAACCCTATCAGAATAGAGATACATTTCCGAAGTTGTTAAGAAGCTTCCTCTCTGGTCCTTACTCTTTACTCTGTGCTTAAAATTCAAGGAAGGAAACTTGTAGGAATCAGTTAAATTAGATTGCCTTTTTAAGGGCCAATATGTTTATGAGGCTTCATCATGCTTCAATTTTATATTCTTTCATCTGCGACTGAAAAGTGTAAAGTAATAATAAACTTATAATCATTCTAGCTGCATGAATTTTAAAACCATAATGATCTTAACAGAGTAAAGTGCACCATGTGTCTGAGGATACAGTTGCACTATTTATTCTCTCAATCGCGGTATGTTAAAAAAATGGTCACTCACTCATGGACTGACTGAGAGTAGCCTCTTTTTTGTGTTAAGCAAGTACAATGTTCCACTTCAAATGAACGAAGAGAGACAAGTAAAGAGTAACACGATATAAAATTGCAAGTAGTGCAAGTCAAAATGTTGAATCGCTCTTACATTGTTTCGTTATGTAGGGGACAAATTTACTGCCTCTTATACTTATTTTTATAGAAGAGGGCGCAAACAAGCATGCGGCACACCTGATGGTAAGTACCGACCGCCGCCCACGAATAACTGCAACACCAGAGGAATCGCAGGGGCGTTGCTTGCCTTTTAAAAAAAGTAGGCTCTTTTCTTGAATGTCCCTAGTTCGTATTGGTCCTGAAAAATCGCTGGTGATATATGATTTCACAAGGAAGTTGTGCAAGGAAGAAAACTTCTTATAAATTTTACAGTGGTGGACCGCCAATCACTCATATGTTATGGATGGTATTGCGAGTTTTGTCGAAATGTATGATGGTGAAATTGAGCAGCTAGGATTAGTTCAAACAATTTCTCAGAGATAGATCCCCTCTGGTAGATGCGATAAAATACGCAAAGAGATGCAACATCTCCTCGCAGGGTCAGTGAGTCGAGCCGATCAGAAAGAGCTCGGCTGCCGACGATCCGAAGCGCTCTGCGCTGGATGCGATTAAATGGAAAGAGCTGGCACGAAGGTGCCTTGGCCCAGAGATCTGCGCCTTGTAAAGTTGCAGGTGGTATGCCGGCATGAAATGCTGTCCCGCTCTGCTGAGCACGCCAAGCATTTTACATGCCGATTTGGCCTTCTCTTCCAGCCGACCACGAATTTCGATATGTTGACTCCGATGATTCTGAAACTGGCTGAGACAACAAGGGGAAACTGATGGGATTCGACAAAGGGGTTCTTTTTAGCGGTAAATGTGCAATCTTATGTTTTCTGGATTAAACTGTACTACTCAACATGTATATCCAATTTCCGATTTTATCGCGTTTAATTTAAAATTTTTAATTCCCGGTTTCATTTAATATGTAGTCTTCGCGTAAATATAAGTGTTCGCGCCAAACGCTAATTTCAGGAACTAACGCCAGGGGGCGTTCGGCGCGGTGCATTCGTACCGGTTTGACGTTCGCGCGAGAGAGTTATTTTGCTACCGGCGACGGGGTCGAGTCGAACGGTTGCTATAATATTGTGCTAGCGAGAGCACGTTTAGGGACGCCCGGGAAACCTCCATTTTTGGAATCGGTTTTGTTAGCAGATATTGCCACGACGAAGGTTTCTTTGTTAAGTCTAGAATTCGACGCCGGGCTGACAAATTGTTAGGAAGTTAACATTGATTGCGATCAAAGTCTGAATTACGTATTAGGCGCGCCTAATTTACCGTGAATTTGGTTATGCTAATTTGATAGCGTAGATAAGTTATTTGACAATATTAATTGCTCGTGCGGTGTGTTACGTTTTTACTTATAGTAACGGGATTTCGTATAGACCGACATTCTGTATTTGTTTTGGGTGTTACGCTTTATAACAAATTAGAGTTAGTGGCTCCTGTAAGTTAGTTAATCGTACGATAGTTAATGGACTGTTATCGCGACGAACGAAGAAAGTGACTGTGGACGGCGCCGCGGAAGACCTCAATTTGGAGCAGCCTGGAACTCGGCCGCTGCTGGTCGCCTATGCTTGCCAAGGCCCCACACATTCACACCTTACTGTACACTACTCGCCATCCACTATTACACACACTCACGGCCTGCCCAAGCCTTGGTGCGAAGTTAGCTTCGGATAATGGTAAGTACGATGTGTTTCTAGCTTTCTCCCTTATTGTTTGGTGTAACTAGAGATTTTCCACTTTGGCCTTAGGAGGCCCGACCTACGTCTGCTCGTCGAAACTCAGCTGAATGGTCCCCTGAGGATTTGATATTTAGGGGAGCAGCCGTAGGCAGTAACAATAAGAAATCATTGTATCTCCTACTTAACACTAGATAACATGACAAAGAGCATTGACGGATTTTGTTAAGTAAAAGTGATGCGGATTTGTATTTTATTGATTTTGTAATGATTTCATACATTTACGCGAACACTACACTTTGAATAAAACTACTTTTACCTCAGGAATTAAATTAAGTAAATTAAATGTTATAAAATCCCTAAAAGTAATTGTATTAAATGCCTGCGAATGTGAATAATTTGTGAAAACGATGTAACAAGTGCTTTAATGATGATATAAACCTCAAGGTATTTATCCGCTAAGTTGCCTTGAGATACTATCGTCCGCTATCGTCAAATTCTCCAAAATAAGTAGCATATTAAAATGTGAAGAATTTTGTAAACAAATACGTCAGATTACGCTGTATGAACAAATATTCTTTTGCCTTAGAATAAAAACATATGTCAATATGACATATGTTTTTTATTCTATTCTTCTGACAAGTTTACATTTGCAAGATTTTCGCGCCAAACGCAAACTGAAAATCAATTTCTTACTCAACTTATACTCCAATGTTAAAATAAAAATACTTATTTATTTTATACATAAGCGTGATATCTTTTGTATTGTACAAAATGGAAACTAACGATGAATTGTCACAACTGGAAGAATTACTATGTGCTGATTTAGATGAAAACTATGAAAAAAAAGATAATACACAAAGCATTAAAGAAGTAAATATTTTTGAAAATGAATGCCACAATGAAAAGAAATTAGAAGATAATGTGACTTCAAACACATCTATTATTCATAATGGTGACACAGATTCCTCGGATGATGAAGAAAGAAGAAATTATATGGATAGAAAATACAACGATTATGGTGCTGGAGTGAAAACAATCCTTGATAATAAGGAACAGGAACGTAACGAAAGTAGATTGAACTTTGAAATTAGACTACGTCAAGCTAATATAGATTTAAAAGTTGCCTCTAATAGTTCGTTTTCAAAGAAATCTGAAGATAATTTAGCAAAAAAACCGAAATACATTTTCGGAGCTCCCGAAACAAATAGCAAATCCTACTCAGATATATACACAGATCCTGTTTTTGGAATTCGTATCTCAAAGCCACTCGTATCCAGTGCTGTGCTATTAGATAGAATGCAAGGTAGGGAAGCTGTGAATATGCTTAGAGTAAAAAGGTATGTGGAAAATGAAGACTTGAGTAAAGATTGGGTAATAGCTGGTGTAATAGTTAGGAAAAGCACATCAAAAAAATCTCAAAGGGGCAATCAATTTATTATTTGGACACTTAGTGATCTCAAAGATGATATGAAAACAGTTTCAATGTTTCTCTTTCAAAAGGCTTATAATGACTTGTGGAAAACCTGTGAGGGCACTGTTGTAGCTATTTTAAATCCTAATGTACTTGATAGATCACAAAACAGCAATGACCAAGCATGTCTTAGTGTAACTAGCCCTAACCAAGTAATGATTCTTGGTCAATCAAAAGATTTAGGTATATGTAAAAGTAAAAAGAAAAATGGTGAACCATGCACAGCATTTGTAAATTTAAGTAAATGTGAACACTGTGTTTATCATATTAAGCAGGAATATCAGAAATTCTCTAGACGTCAAGAGTTACAATCGTCAACTATGGGCAAAGGACTTGTTAACCTACAAAACAAAGTACTAGGCAAAAGTACTGTAATATATGGAGGCAAAGCCTATTCAGCTTTGCCAACAAGCAATCATAAAAAAGCTAAAGATAGAGACCAAAATAGATTGATGTCTCTAAGTGACTACTATAAATCGGATAGTAATTATTTAATGAGTAATAAAGCCCCATATGGTGCAGGACCCTTAAAAGGAAATTCTGGAATATTGCACAGCCCAACAGCACAGAAAATGACTGATTCTGTGAGATTGAATAACTTAATGAATTCTAGTCAAAATTCCAACAGCACATTCAACTCAAGTTTAGCCGAAAAAGTTACCAACTCGCCAAAACTAGGAAAAGGCTTTGGACTGCAGGGCACTGGCATTATAGATCTAAATGTGCCATATCGACAGAAAGCCATAGAGAGAACAAAATTAAATGCAATAAAACTTATTCAAAGAAGTGGAGGAATATCTAAAATAGATCCCAATAACATCAAAGGTACTGAAGCTGGGAAGAAGAGAGCATTAGAAAAACTAAATAATTCATGTAGTGATGAAAATTCTTGTAAAAAGGCTAAACCAAATGAAGAAAGCAATAAAAAACTTAAACCTGCTATGTCCGAACGATTTAAAAAGATTCTTGAAGCAACTTCAGCTCATCATAACCTTATTCAACAACATGAGGATGATGAACAAGAGAAGTACTTCAACAAACTTGAGAAGAAGGAGGCTATGGAAGAAAAAATGCTGAACACATTTAAGTTGGCATGTAAAGCAGTAAGATGTACAAAATGCAAATATACTGCCTTCTCTGCTTCACAAATGTGTAAGGATGAGAAGCACCCTCTTAAAGTTCTAGATACATTTAAAAGGTTCTTCAAGTGTGCCGATTGTGGTAATAGGACTGTTTCCTTAGAACTACTTCCATTACATGCATGTAGTAATTGCAGTGGGTCTCGATGGGAAAAGGCACCAATGATGAGAGAGAAGAAAGTTGCACTCTCTGATGCTTTATCTATTAGAGGGGAAGAAGAAACTTTTATTGGTGGACAAGTGAGTGCTGGAAAAAATATTAACTTATTGGTCCCTGACAGTTAAAACTGAATGTTTGAAATGTGTATGTCTCAAGGCCGATTTTTAATTCTTAGATAAAAGTTATTCATGGAATAAAATATTACAAAAACAAATGAAAAATTAGTTTTACAAATTAATTCAACTGTTTCACTTTTATATTGAGACAGGTTATAATTTATAAGAAGGATGTAACTCTTATCCGATGATTGAAAAACCGGCTCTTAATGTCTGTAACTAATGTATATTTAGATTAGGACTGTGTGAATTTATATTATGGATAAAATAAAAAACGTAATGAAAATAAAGCATATAATTTTAATTATGAAACTTCCAGTCAATAACACTGAACCATTCCATAAAACACTAAATGTGTTTCCGATTTATTACAAGAATTATTGTATCAATCTTGAGGTGCAGAATACTTGCGGGCTCATAATAATTTTTACACAGCCTTTTACAATAAATTACTATGTTGTTACAAAACTGATCAGTGGAGCTAACAATAACATGTGACACCCAATACCTTGTGTCGCGTTATATCATTGTATTTACAAATTCATTAGTAGGCAGTGATCCTATCTTATCATAACTCATTACTATGAAAATTTATATACAGTCAACCCAATTAAGCAAAATCATAAACAACAAAAATAATTATAAAGCTTCTTCCACAGTTACTGCTCCTTTCAAATCTAAACTTACACACAAGCAAAAATATATTTAGCTGAAGTATAATTATTTTATAAGTTACAATTTTTCTAATAACAATAATTACAGTTACAGGTATTAAAAGTAATTGTAATAAATCGAAAAGTAATCCATTTGATAAAAAAATGCCTTTATCATTTTATTTAACATTTATAATATAGTTAACAATATTAAGTGTATCATGTTAATCACCATCACAAATTCACCCTCAGTATTGATAGAATGGGACCACTGCCTTGGGAGTGCGTTCGCTCAGTAAAAAATATATAAAAGACAGGCATTTGAAGCGATCATTCCCACTCGGTAGTTGCTGGTGGCTTAGGCGTCAGATCATAGAGCACACGCGATATTCCAGGGACGCTCATCAGCTCCTTACGCATCCTGTCGACAACCTGTACACAGAACGAGTTTTTAATAGTATATATATATAAAATTATAATTAATTTAATTAATAATATTTTAAAATTTAGGTCTGTGAAAAAAGGCAGCATAAATCTTGAATTTTCATCCTTCACCTTATGATTAAATGAGTTGTTTCATTCAAGCTTACTTGAAACTACGAAATGTGTCATAATAGTCAATTACATGAAAGTAATACGCTGAGGACATACTGTAGACGCAATAACATTATTGTAAATTTAATATCTGCATTAATTGCAATTTTAAGTGCTGATTTACCACATGTTCGGCGGTGAAGGAAAACATCATACGGAAACCTGCATGTCTGAGAAATAAGAAAACAAAATATTTCGAAGACATGTCAAGTTCGCCAACATGCATTGGGGCAGCGCGGCGGATATTTCCTTGCACTAAAACCCTCTCAAAAATGAGAGGAGGCCTGCGCCATGCAGTGGAATGTATATAGGCTGTAACTTTTCTTCTGTCCAAAGAACATTTCAAAGGGCTATGATTTGTAAAGGTTAAACGCACTTAACAAAAAATATGAGCTTACAATGCTATTATTATGTTGAAAAAAATCAAGCAGTGAGTAGCATAGAAGACGACTTATGTTGTCTGCTTTTGATCATTGCAATCATATTTTTTTTTATGAGAATTTTCTGTTCAGTTCTATTGTACTTTACATTTTTTTACTTTTTATGTACTATTTGTAAGCCTATTTTTTTTATTGCTTTAAAAAGTCCCAGGGACTCCATCCACTGTTATTCATCACTCTAAAACCTTTGTGTCCAAGTTGTTACTAAAATTATCATTTTTTTTTGTGATGCAACGCACAAACTGGTCAAAATAATGATTCAGAAGCACTTTTTACAGTTTATTTCCATGTATAAGATATCTTTAAAAAAAAACAAGTAATCCCAGTCTACATTAAATTTTACATAACATGATACAATAGCGCTTGTGCTGCAATTAACACTTTGACAGCCAAGCATTTTGTAGCACGCATTCCCCTGTACGCCGGCCATTTATTTTTGTAAGTTTTATTTAAAAAGAACTAAAAAAGTAATATTCTACCATATACGAAAAGAAGCATCTTTTCGTATATGCTAGAATAAATAATTTATTTTTATAATAGAAAATAAAACAAAGTAAATTAATTTTTATTTTATTTAAAAAAACCAAAACAATAATACCCATTTTCTACAAAAAAAAACTCTTACATAAATATAAGTCTGCGATTACATGGTATTTTTCAATCCTACACCATGAAATCTTTTTTACTATGATAATTTTCAAAGCAGGGATAGTTGCAGAGTGGAATATTACATGCTGGACAGTAACATCTTCTTCCACCATTTCATGAACTTCCCGTGAAGGGAATAAATATGACACATGCTGGTCATTGTGCGTGTCCGTGATTGCGCGCCGGGCGCCTCGACGCATTCCTTGCAATCCCTCCTTTTGCACCCCACCATAACTCCTTATGTAAATTAATCCTATGTGTGTGTAGCTAAAGAATGTAGCTACCCAATCCAATAACCGCCAACCCCAAAATTTCTTTAATTTTTAGAATAAAATCAAGGAATTCGGATGGCACGCTGGGGCCGTGATCGGCGTACGTAGCAAAACTGAGCGTCACGACCCAGGGTCGTGATCGCTGTACAGAGCAAAACTGATTGTCACAACCCAGGGTCGTGATCACCGTACGGTGCAAAACTGAGCGTCACGACCCAGGGTCGTGATCGCCGTACGGAGCAAAGCTGAGCGTCACGACCCAGGGTCGTGATCGGCTGTCAGTGTTAGAATGCATTTATCTTTCAAATCTAAATAACATTCATGTTTTTTTTTTTATAGAATAAGGGTGACAAACGAGCACACAGTCCACCTGATGGTAAGTGGTTGCTGCGGCCCATAGACATCTACATCTATACTCGTTTGCGAATCAAAATGCAGATGCGTTGTCACCCGTGAGGACTAAGATGGAATGCCTCATTTCTAGTAAAAAGGGCCTCCGGCCACCTGCACTCACCAAACGAAACGCAGAGGTAAACCTCTACTTCACGCTGGTATTCTGTGAGGTCGTGGTACCACCCCGGTTCGAGCCGGCCCATCCGTGCGTCAGCAAAAGCTGCCGCATGGTTCTACCACTGTTAATAAGTGTTCCACATTGCAGCTATATCATAATTGTAGTGTTGTAATGGCTCAGTTCAACTGGAGGACTACACTCTCACAGAATAAAACACTCACGCCTATCACCCAGGGGGGTAGGCAGAGACTACAGACTTCCATTTGGTACGATCCTGACACACCTCTCTCGCTTCCTCCACATCCATATATCTACGCATACTCGCTCGTCGGTTAAAGGTGCTCTTAATTTGGCCCATTTTCAATATATCGCCGATTTGGTCGATAAACTTTAGCCTAGGGTGTCCCTTCCCGATTCTGCCGTTCACCTCTGCAACATAAATTTGCTTTGTCACTATTTCCTCATTCATTCTTTCTATATGACCAAACCACCAAAGTATTCCTTTCTTTATCTTAGTCACAACATCATCTTGCAGAAGAATACCAGCGTAAAATAGCAATTAAATACTAATGTTACGTATGGTGAGTCTAGAGGAACCGAAGATTATGATTCTTAATTGAAAATAGATGTAGATGTCGATGGGCCACAGCATCCACTTACCATCAGGTGGAATATGTGCTCGTTTGTCACCCTAATTCTATAAAAAAAAAATGTAAAGTAGTGTAGTAAATGAGTATATTCTCACGTCCTGCGGCATGGAGTCGGACGACGGCAGCGCGGCGACGCCGGTCATGAAGTCGCCGGTGAGGAAGGGGCGCAGCACGAGCGAGCGCTGGCACGACGGCGCGCGCACGGCCGCGTCGCGGTCGAAGTGGATCGGGATCAACACCACCGGCATCTGAGCGATGCGGCCCGCGTACCCGCTAGAGATCAACACCTGCACAAATTCATTCCAAATTTATTCATCAATTTCCACACCTAATTCGCTTTTCAGAGACACATGCCTTCCGACATATACAATAAAATAGAATATATATATTTTTTTTCAATATAGATTTTTACATAATACTTGTTGAGTTGAGTGTTTTTTTTTTATTTACCAATGGTTCGGAAACCCTCTCTCCTGGCAAGAACCAGCAAGAAACAAAGCAATATTTTTTTTTAACTTATATATAAGTTTAAAAAAAATAACAACTTTTCTTTAATATAACTTAAACTGATTCATCGGGGATTTTATTATATAAGTGATACATTGAAAACATATATATTGACAAGGCATATATGTTCAGTGGACGAGTAGAGATGACCATGGTGAAATTTCTTATTGTTTATTCAGAAGTCATAATTTTCTTTAGGTGTATAATTTAATATTCATAAGAGTTGACTTAATATAGATAAGATTAAGTTAAATAGAAAAGTTTTGATTTTCTTTACATGGTGGCATTTTTCTGCAGTTTGTTGTTCGCTGTAATAGTAATCATAATTTGTAGTTGATAATCAAAAAGAAAAAAATATGATATATTTTAAATTTAATTTTCTATTTCATTATCTTTACCATTGCACGGCCTAGTAGATAAAGATATATTTTACAAATATCCACATATTTGTCACATTTTTTTTCATAAAAAATATGCACATAAAAATGTCAAATAATAGTTTAATAGGCTTCAATTATATATCACAATACTATACAAAGTATTTTCTAAATTAAATAACATGTACTGCTATGAATAACTTTGTTGTTAATCTTAGGACAGCAAAAGCTTATTAAACCCGGCAGTCAAATGAGAGTTACTTTAGGAGAGCTGTATCAAAATGCCGTCTATACTTATTGGCGGCGTTCTTTCTTTGCTCTCCAACCCAGAAATATATTATTCGTTTTTATAACAAAACTAAATGAATATATTTAAAATAATAAAACCCCTACACTAACTTTCAGTGGATGCAGTTGACTTAGCTTAGTGTTGATGATGATGTTGTTGAAGATGATGACTAACTTTCAAAATATAATTTTAATACGATTTACCTGTGTTGCGAGATCGTCGGCCTGGCGTAGTGTGGAAATTACGTGTTGTGTGAGGAACGTAGGCGTAATGTCTGTGACTTGCTCTTTTATTATACCTCCGAAAGCGTAGCAAACCCTGTAATTTTGTAAGTTGTTTAAAACTGAAATAAGAGACATAATAAAGTTAAAGTTACAGCCTATATACGTCCCACTGCTGGGCACAGGCCTCCTCTTATTTCTGAGAGGGTTTTAGAGCAAAGCAATGTCCCCCACGCTGCCCCAATGCGTGTTGGCGAACTTCACATGTCTTCGAATTTCTTTTTCTTATTTTTCAGACGTGCAGGTATCCTCACGATGTTTTCCTTCACCGCCGAGCACGTGGTAAATCAGCACTTAAAATTGTAATTAACAATTTTATTGGTGCCGGCGGGGATCGAACCCAAATTGAATTGTGAAATTTACAGCAAGCGCTAACCATCTGAGCTACCACGGCTCTCAGACACATATTATGTCTTATATAATATTATATGCATATTATATAATATGCTACACCTTTAGTTAGCTAATAGTCCACGGTTGGACAAAGATTACCTCCTGATGCAAATGTTTTCATTCTAATTCAACACAGTGTGAAAATTCTACAATTATTATTATACTATACATGTAATGGAATGAATTTTTCGTTATACCAATACATGTTATGTTAAGTCATGGAGATGTGGCTTAGTCCAGTTCTTTTCATAACTGTACTTTTTAGAGTTCCGTACCCAGAGGATAACCAACGGGACCCTATTACTAAGCCTCTGTTATCCATACGTCTGTCTGTCAGTGGGCTGTAATATCATGATCCGTAATAAGCAGACAGTTGAAATTTTCACTGAATTTATATTTCTGTTGCCGCTAAAACGACAAATATTAAAAATTAAAATCAATTAAAAATTACAGGGGCTCACCTACTAGAAACGTATCTTTTACCTACATAGTATTAAATCTTGTACGATGGTACGGAACCCTTCATGCGCGAGTCCGACTCGCAATTGGCCAGCTTTTCTACCGACTTCAAAAAGGAGTTATTACTCTAGTACTCAATTCGGCTGTATGTTTTTTTTTACGTGTGTTACCTCATAACTTTTTACTGGGTGAACTGATTTCAATGATTCTTTTTTTATTTGAAAACTGGTGTGGTGCTTCACATGTGATCCCATATAAAATTGATTAAGGTCTGACCAATAGTTCTTGTGTTATTCTTAATAATTTATATTGAAGTCGGTTGTACAAAATTTTTAATTTTAAATTATTTGTGAAATATTTTGGTTTTAACATTAAAAGTTACTCTCAAAGTTTGTTGGATTAACCGTAAATTTTATTGCAACAACTATCGATGATAAATATCAATAAAACTAAAAAATATATGTTTGCTAGTGCTATTGTTTAATATTGAAAAATATTTCAAATTAAGAGCCAGGTCTATAGACGTCACAAAAGTGGTAACGGGCCTACTCCCATCCCCGAGTGTTGGTGGGCTTCGTATTATATCCCCAGAATGTTTTTTAATTTCTCACACATTAATGCATGATAAATCAGCACTTAAAATTATTATTGTAATTAACAGTATGGCAAATGGGGTAGAACTCGGCTTTTTAGGATAACTACTGTAAAATTTACGGCAAGCACTTGGCCCCAGAACTATTACAGCTCAGGGGATTTGTCTCGATGGTATGAACTGAATGTACAATTCAGTGGTGAGAGAAAAAGGGCAATGGATTGTGTATAATGTATGATGTAGGTATATATCACCCACCCTATTATTATTTTTTTGTTTATAGGATAAGGGTGACAAACGAGCACACAGTCCACCTAATGTTAATTAATTGTTGTGACCCATAGACATCTACATCCATTCTCAACAACACTCACCATACGTTAAGCTGCTATTTTACGCTGGTATTCTGTGAGAGCGTGGTCTTCCCCGGTCGAGCCGATCCATTCGTGCTACAACTATGCTACTGATACAGCTGCAGCATGGTTCTACCACGTAAAACCACCCTGCAGAAAAGGTTTAAAAAGGTTAAATATTAACAAAAATTACCTGTTAACATTGTGGCACACACGCGGTATGATTTTGGCGAGATACTGCATGTCCTTCCAATCTGGAGGGTAGCGTTCTGTGGATAACGCCACCGCATAGCTGTAAGTTCGAGAATCACCTGGAAACAATCGTATTTATAAATCGTATATAAACCTATCATATTTATCGTAATCGTATTATATCCTTTTAATATATATCTGATGATAATATCACAGACAGAGTGTAATTACATATATATTATGTACGCATAGAGTGAACCCACAATTCTACATAAATTGAGTCAATATACTTGCCTCGCTTTGTCTAATTAAAAAAAGAAGAACACTATAGAAAGACGTTGCGTATGTAATTTATGCGTAGAGCTTTAATGACAAGTGGTCATCTTTGTTCTCTTTATACTATGTCTAATATGAGAGTAAGTACACTCGTATCTTCAGATTTACTAAAAAATGACATCCCTATTATAGTAGCATTACGTGTGACATTATTTCACAATACATGACGTCTTTAATTTATAGTGATTTCGTTTCTGATGTTAGCAACAATCGATATCGATACTCTTTTTTTTTATTAGTTTATTGTATGTCTAAAAATATAAAGAAAATTGGATTAGGATTATTATCATTCGAGCAATCAAGTAAATTGTTTTTCTAAATAAAGTGATGATTTACATTGCAAAAATTCATGTAGCAGACTTTAAAAAGTGATAGTTAGGTATGAATACTGAATCATGACAGCCGCACGGTACAAAAGCCAGTTGGGTCCCATTTGTGACAAGTATGACCAGTTTGTGTGGTCTACAAATAACCTTCCCGAGTATTTTGTTAATGTGAACTATAATTTATGTAGGTATATTACTTGTGTTGGGGGGTATGTTAAATAAATTAAAAAAAAACTACCTTGTACTCCAACTGAACGCACTGGCAGCAATGTTGCGGCAACGGGCGATTTAGAAGAGATACGCTTGAGCTCCGCTTGCTCTGTAGGTGTGGTCGCGTTTGCGACACGGCCCAACAATGCATGGGACTTCAGGCACATCGACGCGTACTCCACCATAATTTTTACTATAACCTGCGAGATATAGAGTTGAAACGTTGGAACTGTTCTCTGGTCAAATATTGTAAAACATTCTGAGGGGTTACCCCTAAGGTAATTAATAACGAAATAAAAATATAATAATTTTCACACTTCACATCAGTGATCCATTTGAGTGGTGGAGTCGTAACAGTTCAAGATATCCCGAAATGTCGCGTCTTGCTAAAGTGTATCTCTGTTGTTCAGGAAATAAATGGCTACCAGAAAGGGCAGTCTCTGGTGTTTTACACCACAATTTGCCTCTAATAAAAATTATAAATAATTTTATATTTTTTTATTTATATTGTCCTACAGATTATTTAATTTATTTGAAATATGAATAAAAATAATAGGCAGACTATTCGGCGCTTTTTTTTTCTTTATAGAAAATCGGTGACATACGATCACACAGTTCACCTGATGGTAAGTGGTTGCTGTGGCCCATAGACATCTACATCTATCCTCGTTTGCGAATCATAATGCAAGATGCGTTGTCAGCCTTGAGGACTAAGATGGAATGCCTGTTTTCCAGTAAAAGGGTCTCCGTTTCTTTACACTCACCATACGAAACACAGCAGCATTAAGCTGCTATTTTACGCAGGTATTCTGTAACAGCGTGGTCCTTTCCCGGTAGAGCCGACCCATTCGTGTTACAACTATACTATAATTATAGCTGCAGCTTGGCTCTACCACGTACGAACGCTGTTTGCCGACTAATCACTGGCTACAAATATGGCCGGATAGTCGGCGACTAGTCGGTACATGTCTAGTTCTTCAAGTTAATATGGAATAAAGTTACATTCTTATCTGAAATAAATTTCATAGCACGTTGACAAAGTGCGCACACAAATAATGACAGACAAGCAATACAGTGGTTTTCTTAGTCAGATTAAACCAAGTCAAGTGTTATATTGTCGAAAACTACTTTCGCGGTTAACAAAAACAAAGAACTAGTCATCTCGCTCGCTCACAGTCGACTTGACTTACGGAGAATTGTACATAACTTAGTGCGCAATGTATTAAAGCCGCAGAGTCCGTCTAGTACAAGTCTTTAGATGAGTAGCACTGCGGTAAGGTGTACACGTGCAGCATTCAGCAGAGCATGGCGGGGTGCACACGTGCAGCACACAGCAGCACGCACCTGTGTCTCGGAGAAGTCGCGCTCGGCGTAGGGCTCGTCCTGGCAGAGCACGCGCACGGCCAGGCCGGGCCCGGGGAACGGGTGCCGCTCCACCAGCGCCGCCGGCAGCCCCAGCTCCGCGCCCAGCACGCGCACCTGACACACACATCAACTTTTCCTTTTAATCTTCCGTCCACCAGATATCGCTAGTTAGGAATGAGGTGAAGTTTTCTGTTGCACAATGTCATGTAATTGAAAAAATGCGTTTTAAATAAAAGTTTATCGGTATACAATCATCAAACACTATCATGCATACCTCGTCCTTATGGAAGTCGCGCAGTGGCTCAACAACGCGACCGCGTTGACGCAACACACGCACCAACTCCGTGTCGTTGTGATGCGTCTTGATTGTGGACGCGTTGTCGGAACACAGCGATGACGCTGACTCGATCAAGTCCGGCCGTAGTGTTCCCTGGCCGAGAAGCACTTGATCTTCCCTGTAAGAGATTAATACGTCAGTTATTTTATCTAGTCACACTGCTGGGTGTTTACAACCAAGGTCGGAAAAGAAGGGTGACGCACCGGTAGAGTGTATTTATACGAACCACTTCGAGCCATTTTAAACCCCTCATAACTCAAGAACTATTAGTCGTACACACTTGTAATTTTGCTTTAAAACTAATAAGGACTTAAAAGAGCCATTTTTATCACTCACTAATTCAGTACTAGTACACTGACTAACTCACCAAAAACCTAAGCTACTTCTAAGTGATTTAGAATCATGAAATTAGTCTACAAAGGAAAAAATCTGAAAACTGCATATTGAATAAAAGATAAAGATATCCCGCCGACAAACTGTTACGCAGTTTGGTGGGTGTGAAAAATGTATTATATATATATAGGTTTGGTCCAGAATAAATAATTTATTATTTATTATTACATTTATTGCATAACTGAAAAACATATAGTTTTAGGCTCAACAGTCTAGCCGTGTGCAATGCAACAATGAAAAATAAATTTAAAATTAACTACTTACTAACATTACTTTTACTAAAATACTCATTTAGATTGTAAAAATTTTAACAATTTCCTTAATTTTGTTTTGAACATATTTCCATTTAATTGTTTAATAGCTAGTGGTAACTGGTTGTATACACGGATAGCAGTAATATAGGTACTTTTATAATAAATCATATTTCTAATAATAGGTTTATATCATATTTATATTGTTTGCGAATGTTTTTCTTTAAATCAGATTTCAAATTAAAATATTGCATGTTGTTTTTTACAAATAGGCACAATTCCAGGATAAAGATTCCAGTCAATGTTAGAAACCCTTCGTTCTGAAAACATCTCTTAACGATTCAGTAATATGCATGTTATATATGCCTTCCAATTTAGATGTTGATCTACTTCGATTCCTAGAAAATTTATGCTCTTTACTTCTTCGACCGCTATTTCAGTCACGGTTATATTTAGTTTGGCAGGTATACTTTTGTAATGTCTAAATTGTATAAGTTTAGTTTTTGACAGGTTTACTTTCAAGTTTATTGACTGCAACCATTCAGTATGTTTTGTTTATTTCATTTTCATAATCAATATCATTTGTGTCATCATTAGAAATAAATATAGTTGCATCATCGACATACATTACGCATAGGTGGGTAATTATGTTTGGGACCTCATTTATATATAATAGGAATAAAGAGGGCCCCAATATGCTGCCTTGGGGTACACCCAGTATTACATTTTCAAATACAGATTTAACTACCTCCACCATTTTTGTAGTTTCATTATATATCTCGATAACTGTTGCTTGCATTCTACTATTTAAATAATTTTCTATTAATTTAAGTGCTACTCCTCTTATTCCTAAGCCTTCTAATTTATTTAACATAATATCATATTTTACACAGTCAAATGCTTTTGACATATCGTAAAAAAAAGCAGCACATTGTTTTTTTTCATTGATTTTATGCCAAACTAGCTGTTCGCCGCGACTTCGACCGCGTGTTATTTGGGGTTTTAATTTTTTTGCGCGGAACCCTAATTCTTTATCTAAAATAAAAGTAGCCTAAGTTACTCCTTATGATATTAGCTATCTGCCAGTGAAAATCCCGTCAAAATCGGTCCAGCCATTTCGGAGATTAGCCGGAACAAACATACAGACAGACGGACAGACAGACAGACAGACAAAAACTTTAAAAATTGTATTTTTGTTATTAGTACAATACATACTTTCATATGCATTTACTAAAAAGCTGTAATTTTGACATTACAAACAGACTCTTCAATTTTATTTATTTGTATAGATATAGATGTTATTAAATAATTTATATATTGCCAGAGATGTAGTTTTATTCTTTTGAAATCCGTATTGGTTTACATTTAAAATATTATTAATTACCAAAAATTTTGTGATTCTGATATATATTACTTTTTCAAATATTTTCGAAAAACTTTGTAACAGTGCAATTGGTATATAGTTATTTATGTCGTGCTGCGATCCTTTTTTATATAATGGTTTTATGAGAGCTTTTTTAAATTATTGGGAAATTCTCCCGTTTCCAACATTATGTCTATATGTACAAGCGGGTCAGCAATAAAGGTTATGCTTTCTTTGATTACTTTAATGGGTATATTATCATATCCGTAGCTGGGTTTGTTTTTTAATTTTTTAACTATGTTTATTATTTCACATTTATCTACTGGATAAAGGAACATACTTTTCGAATTAGAACTGTGTTGTTGTTTATAGTTGTTTGATCTTAATGTGTTCAATCATTAAATAGAAGTATTTTTACAGATTTTATCGGGTTTAATTTAACTGAAACTACATTTATAGTTATCCGGTGTCGACAGTTGTTGACTTAGTAATCTGTGTGGTTAATAAGAAATAGTTTACGTATGGCCATTTATTCAAATATTTAAAATGTAGGAGCCTCTCTGTTCTTTATCCAACCGTTTATATTCCATCTTCTTTGTGACGTCCCAGCACCCTTGTTCGAAGTATCGTATCCACGAGAGAGACTAACCAGCCTCGCTAAAACTACAAGTCTGTGTAAGTCGTCTACAGTAACTGGGTTTTCTGCATCGGATTGACTTCGCATTTCAATGAAGTAGTTTTCGACAAACTGCAAATATTCACTTATAGTATAAGTGAAGATAGTCAAATATATTACTATATATTTGACGGTCTTCAGCTTCAAGTTGGCCAAATATTTCCTGATAGTGTTCATGATTTCTTTCTTTAGATGGTAAGTGGCAGCCTCAAATATTGCATCAAAGGTTACCAGAGATGATTCTTCTGGCCTTAGAGGTACATGGTAATCACTCGGCAATAAAGATTTTCCTTCAGAGAGTAACAACACTGGTATATCTGAATCGAACTCCATCTTGTAATATTTGTAGTCATATTCAACTTTCTGGGTAGGAATCATATTACCTAATGCGGTTAAACCAGTCGAGTCCAAGCGTCCTTGCCCCATTTTTGTTTCATCTAATATCAATAGCGTGTGTTTGTTTAGTTGTATAATTCCACTTGTTAATCTATTACATTCAGTTTTTCTTTGGTAGAAGCACAAAATAAATAATAGTACAAGAACAAAAGGATCACTCTCTGATAGCAAACTTGTGAGTTTAAACTTATTTACAACGTCACTAATGTTCATAATGCTTTGAAGGTCTCGGAAGTCACTTCATGAAATTAGTCTACCGTTTATATCGTCAAAAAAACATTATGTGCCGCGCGTATTAAATCAAAATATACCTTACGTCCGCGTGCGAGTGTCTGTATCACTTAGCCCGTTACGCGCCTTTGTTAAGACCGCTTCTACTGTAGGGTTAGGCGATGTGAGAAAACAAATTGAATCCTTTGATATAATTCGGGAGTAGAATACATCGAGGTGTTATGCAATGTATTAGTAATTTGGTGTTGTTCAATTTAAGGCAGGTTTTAGTATATAGTATTAGTAGGTAATACTAATACTAGCTACTTATACTTTATTACTATTACGTGCTCTGTGATGCCGGTATAGTATATAGCATCGCCCCATGTCTGCCTGTGGGTGTAGTAAAAGGCGCCTAAGGGAATCTAAAGCCGTAGGTACTGATTATCTAGTATTCCGTCCAACAATTGGGGACACTTGAAAAATTAAGATTACAACAACGTGAACGTCTTTGAAACTCAGATACTTTACCTACATACTATTTTCTGTTTCACATTTTAACAGAAAGAGTAGCAATGAGAAGTGATGTTATTTTCAATCTCTTTCTTTTATTGACAGTGTTTAACAAGAAACCAGTAAATGCTAATCTTGCATTAGTAAGCAGTCACTAGCACTGAGAGATCTACTTATACTGAAAGATTTTTAAATTAAAAAAAAAATCATTGACATTATACGCGAAAAAATGAAAACTGCGAAGCTGTGGTCGCGTCGCTAATCAAATAATAAATCTGTAACTATGGCGTCAGTAACTAAGTACCTAATTATCTAGATCTACCAATAAATAATAATATCTTACTTTTCGGTATCCTTGGGAACACGAAAGAATGAAAAGTCGACATTCCTATTGTTATTTAAGCACCCGTGTGCTATGCAATACTTTTTGGTTTTTTGAGAGGCCATACTTGAATAAAAACTCAAAAATAAATATCAAGTGCCTAAATACTTATAAGAGAAAAATAATTTTTATGTTAACCCAAAGCGCGCGTCAGCTCGAGCGCGTGCGTGACAACCTCACGGAATTAGCCCCGCATACGGGGCTGCGCAGCGTAGGTATATTTCATGCCTAAAGCACGGAGTGAAACAGTCCTGGTAGAAGTGCCATCGTATTTAAATTCTCTATTGTGAGAGGAAGATAGTAACTTTTTGAACTACTTGATGATGTCATATAACTAACTGCTTAGCATAGTTCGGATATTTTTTCGTTGGCAGATTGGAGATTCAGATAGAATTGGCCGAGAGCAAGGGTATCTTGACGAAGGTATACACATACAATGAGATGGCATATTAAATATTCACTTCGTTTGTATAGTGGTCGTAAACGCGGTTACCGATCATGAGGTTCTGGGTTCGACTCCCGGGGCAAAATCGACTGGGTTTTTCTGTCGAGAAATTTTCAGAAGCAGCCCGGAGTCAGAAAGTATAGCAGCGGCTACCAGGCGAACAGAACGCATGCAGCAGTACTCACTGCAGCTCGAGGTCGCGCACGGCTTGCTCGGCGATGCGTATGAACACGTCGCCGATGATCTTGCGCTTGTCCTCGGGCGCGGTGGTGTGGCACAGCAGCGGCTACTAGGCGAACAGAACGCATGCGGCAGTACTCACTGCAGCTCGAGGTCGCGCACGGCTTGCTCGGCGATGCGTATGAACACGTCGCCGATGATCTTGCGCTTGTCCTCGGGCGCGGTGGTGTGGCACAGCAGCGGCTACTAGGCGAACAGAACGCATGCGGCAGTACTCACTGCAGCTCGAGGTCGCGCACGGCTTGCTCGGCGATGCGTATGAACACGTCGCCGATGATCTTGCGCTTGTCCTCGGGCGCGGTGGTGTGGCACAGCAGCGGCTACTAGGCGAACAGAACGCATGCGGCAGTACTCACTGCAGCTCGAGGTCGCGCACGGCTTGCTCGGCGATGCGTATGAACACGTCGCCGATGATCTTGCGCTTGTCCTCGGGCGCGGTGGTGTGGCACAGCAGCGGCTACTAGGCGAACAGAACGCATGCGGCAGTACTCACTGCAGCTCGAGGTCGCGCACGGCTTGCTCGGCGATGCGTATGAACACGTCGCCGATGATCTTGCGCTTGTCCTCGGGCGCGGTGGTGTGGCACAGCAGCGGCTACTAGGCGAACAGAACGCATGCGGCAGTACTCACTGCAGCTCGAGGTCGCGCACGGCTTGCTCGGCGATGCGTATGAACACGTCGCCGATGATCTTGCGCTTGTCCTCGGGCGCGGTGGTGTGGCACAGCAGCGGCTACTAGGCGAACAGAACGCATGCGGCAGTACTCACTGCAGCTCGAGGTCGCGCACGGCTTGCTCGGCGATGCGTATGAACACGTCGCCGATGATCTTGCGCTTGTCCTCGGGCGCGGTGGTGTGGCACAGCAGCGGCTACTAGGCGAACAGAACGCATGCGGCAGTACTCACTGCAGCTCGAGGTCGCGCACGGCTTGCTCGGCGATGCGTATGAACACGTCGCCGATGATCTTGCGCTTGTCCTCGGGCGCGGTGGTGTGGCACAGCAGCGGCTACTAGGCGAACAGAACGCATGCGGCAGTACTCACTGCAGCTCGAGGTCGCGCACGGCTTGCTCGGCGATGCGTATGAACACGTCGCCGATGATCTTGCGCTTGTCCTCGGGCGCGGTGGTGTGGCACAGCAGCGGCTACTAGGCGAACAGAACGCATGCGGCAGTACTCACTGCAGCTCGAGGTCGCGCACGGCTTGCTCGGCGATGCGTATGAACACGTCGCCGATGATCTTGCGCTTGTTCTCGGGCGCGGTGGTGTGGCACAGCAGCGGCTACTAGGCGAACAGAACGCATGCGGCAGTACTCACTGCAGCTCGAGGTCGCGCACGGCTTGCTCGGCGATGCGTATGAACACGTCGCCGATGATCTTGCGCTTGTCCTCGGGCGCGGTGGTGTGGCACAGCAGCGGCTACTAGGCGAACAGAACGCATGCGGCAGTACTCACTGCAGCTCGAGGTCGCGCACGGCTTGCTCGGCGATGCGTATGAACACGTCGCCGATGATCTTGCGCTTGTCCTCGGGCGCGGTGGTGTGGCACAGCAGCGGCTACTAGGCGAACAGAACGCATGCGGCAGTACTCACTGCAGCTCGAGGTCGCGCACGGCTTGCTCGGCGATGCGTATGAACACGTCGCCGATGATCTTGCGCTTGTCCTCGGGCGCGGTGGTGTGGCACAGCAGCGGCTACTAGGCGAACAGAACGCATGCGGCAGTACTCACTGCAGCTCGAGGTCGCGCACGGCTTGCTCGGCGATGCGTATGAACACGTCGCCGATGATCTTGCGCTTGTCCTCGGGCGCGGTGGTGTGGCACAGCAGCGGCTACTAGGCGAACAGAACGCATGCGGCAGTACTCACTGCAGCTCGAGGTCGCGCACGGCTTGCTCGGCGATGCGTATGAACACGTCGCCGATGATCTTGCGCTTGTCCTCGGGCGCGGTGGTGTGGCACAGCAGCGGCTACTAGGCGAACAGAACGCATGCGGCAGTACTCACTGCAGCTCGAGGTCGCGCACGGCTTGCTCGGCGATGCGTATGAACACGTCGCCGATGATCTTGCGCTTGTCCTCGGGCGCGGTGGTGTGGCACAGCAGCGGCTACTAGGCGAACAGAACGCATGCGGCAGTACTCACTGCAGCTCGAGGTCGCGCACGGCTTGCTCGGCGATGCGTATGAACACGTCGCCGATGATCTTGCGCTTGTCCTCGGGCGCGGTGGTGTGGCACAGCAGCGGCTACTAGGCGAACAGAACGCATGTGGCAGTACTCACTGCAGCTCGAGGTCGCGCACGGCTTGCTCGGCGATGCGTATGAACACGTCGCCGATGATCTTGCGCTTGTCCTCGGGCGCGGTGGTGTGGCACAGCAGCGGCTACTAGGCGAACAGAACGCATGCGGCAGTACTCACTGCAGCTCGAGGTCGCGCACGGCTTGCTCGGCGATGCGTATGAACACGTCGCCGATGATCTTGCGCTTGTCCTCGGGCGCGGTGGTGTGGCACAGCAGCGGCTACTAGGCGAACAGAACGCATGCGGCAGTACTCACTGCAGCTCGAGGTCGCGCACGGCTTGCTCGGCGATGCGTATGAACACGTCGCCGATGATCTTGCGCTTGTCCTCGGGCGCGGTGGTGTGGCACAGCAGCGGCTACTAGGCGAACAGAACGCATGCGGCAGTACTCACTGCAGCTCGAGGTCGCGCACGGCTTGCTCGGCGATGCGTATGAACACGTCGCCGATGATCTTGCGCTTGTCCTCGGGCGCGGTGGTGTGGCACAGCAGCGGCTACTAGGCGAACAGAACGCATGCGGCAGTACTCACTGCAGCTCGAGGTCGCGCACGGCTTGCTCGGCGATGCGTATGAACACGTCGCCGATGATCTTGCGCTTGTCCTCGGGCGCGGTGGTGTGGCACAGCAGCGGCTACTAGGCGAACAGAACGCATGCGGCAGTACTCACTGCAGCTCGAGGTCGCGCACGGCTTGCTCGGCGATGCGTATGAACACGTCGCCGATGATCTTGCGCTTGTCCTCGGGCGCGGTGGTGTGGCACAGCAGCGGCTACTAGGCGAACAGAACGCATGCGGCAGTACTCACTGCAGCTCGAGGTCGCGCACGGCTTGCTCGGCGATGCGTATGAACACGTCGCCGATGATCTTGCGCTTGTCCTCGGGCGCGGTGGTGTGGCACAGCAGCGGCTACTAGGCGAACAGAACGCATGCGGCAGTACTCACTGCAGCTCGAGGTCGCGCACGGCTTGCTCGGCGATGCGTATGAACACGTCGCCGATGATCTTGCGCTTGTCCTCGGGCGCGGTGGTGTGGCACAGCAGCGGCTACTAGGCGAACAGAACGCATGCGGCAGTACTCACTGCAGCTCGAGGTCGCGCACGGCTTGCTCGGCGATGCGTATGAACACGTCGCCGATGATCTTGCGCTTGTCCTCGGGCGCGGTGGTGTGGCACAGCAGCGGCTACTAGGCGAACAGAACGCATGCGGCAGTACTCACTGCAGCTCGAGGTCGCGCACGGCTTGCTCGGCGATGCGTATGAACACGTCGCCGATGATCTTGCGCTTGTCCTCGGGCGCGGTGGTGTGGCACAGCAGCGGCTACTAGGCGAACAGAACGCATGCGGCAGTACTCACTGCAGCTCGAGGTCGCGCACGGCTTGCTCGGCGATGCGTATGAACACGTCGCCGATGATCTTGCGCTTGTCCTCGGGCGCGGTGGTGTGGCACAGCAGCGGCTACTAGGCGAACAGAACGCATGCGGCAGTACTCACTGCAGCTCGAGGTCGCGCACGGCTTGCTCGGCGATGCGTATGAACACGTCGCCGATGATCTTGCGCTTGTCCTCGGGCGCGGTGGTGTGGCACAGCAGCGGCTACTAGGCGAACAGAACGCATGCGGCAGTACTCACTGCAGCTCGAGGTCGCGCACGGCTTGCTCGGCGATGCGTATGAACACGTCGCCGATGATCTTGCGCTTGTCCTCGGGCGCGGTGGTGTGGCACAGCAGCGGCTACTAGGCGAACAGAACGCATGCGGCAGTACTCACTGCAGCTCGAGGTCGCGCACGGCTTGCTCGGCGATGCGTATGAACACGTCGCCGATGATCTTGCGCTTGTCCTCGGGCGCGGTGGTGTGGCACAGCAGCGGCGTGTGGCGCACGCGCCCGCCCGCCTCACGGACCGTCGTGCTGCCCTGACGGAACTGGTACACGAAGGTTATAAAATTAATTATCTAAGAGGATGTCTGTGCTGCAAGAAATTTCAAGAATACATTTTATATAGAGGGTTATAAACTAGTCGTGCTGCCCTGACAGAACTGGTACACGGACATGATTATGAAATTAAATATCTTTGAGAGATATAGGCTGCAAGAAATTTCAAGAATGGATTTTATGTAGAAATAGCGGATACACGGCGTGTGCTACTACTACGCTAAAAAAAGAAATACATTTTGTTTATTTGTTGGAACATAACATAATGTACCTACCTACATAATAGAGAGTTTTTAGATTATTGTATCTCTATTATATATTTGCATACTATAAATGTATATTTCTGGCTTGGCTCCAGGGCCTTTCTGTCATACAGTGACATTCTCATAAGGGCTAGAACCCAGAGCCGTAAAGCCAGTAAGAAAAGCAGTGACATTTTGTTTTAGCTAGTGTTGTCATAACATTAAATGGAATTGTTACATAGTACTATGATTGAGATAATGTATTATTGTAGGAAGTTCTTTGTAAGAGATTTATTTTCAACAATATCACTTTTATTTTTATTATTACTAATAGTACAATTATTACTAATAATAACTTAATATAAAATTATTTTTTGTTTTGTTTTTGTTGTTACAAAGTGTATACGAAAATAGTATGAATATAGTGGTAAATGGCAACTAAATATGATCATCATCGATCATCGGCAACTAAATAAAATTGAATAGAGTAAAATGATTTGAGTCATTTGATATTCCCAAAAATGTTTTTTTTTTCACCGGCTTTAATTAAAATACATTCTTATTTAAAAAGTCATAGAAAAATAATAAAATCCATTTTATATATAACTTATTTCTAGACGCAATAATTTTTGTCAACTAATTTTTCTGCCATTGTTCTTTAAAATTAATACCTGATGAGCTGCATTGACGACGTGTAGACGCACGCCTAATTCTCGTAGAGATCGTTCCACCTTTGCACTTTCATTCTTGCGCATGAAGCCTACAAACATTAATATTTTAAACCTTAATTAGTAGTTTACTTATGAATTCAGTTACTGATCATAGGCCTCCTCAATAGATTGGCTCTTAGGGGAGTTTGACATAGTTGCCACGCTTGGCAGTTTTGTTAAAATATAATTAGACATATGTTCATCCATTTGGAAATACATTTTATAAGAATTTGTATCTTCTATTGATACTCCTTAAAGTATTACAAATTTCTTTTTGATTGCCGCCCTACCCAAAGACTGAAATATATAATATTCTTAGACACTAGTTTTTTTTTACTAAACCTATGGTGGCTAAAGCGGCTATAATATAAACAACTATATATTCGTTCATCATCGTCATTATTTACGATTTTACTGATAATATGTACAGGCTGTCTGCCGGCGGATTTTACACTTTAATTAATAATAAAAACCCAAATTTAAACGTAATTCAATTTATTTACGTATTTTCTCATAGTGAAATAGTGCGGATTTCAAGTTTTAGAAACAACACCAATTAAATGACGCCCATTTAAATACATTATTAAGTATAACAATCTTAACCTCATGTTGTCGACGACTCGCTCGCAGAGATCTGGACTGATATTAGTGATTTCTCGATAGATATTTTCTTGTATGGCTCTTACCGTCGATGACGAATCGCTATATACGAGAGATTTAAGGTATCCCCACAGAAAAAAATCATATGGGCTTAGGTCCATCGATCTATGGGGCCAGTTGATGTCACCAAAGCGGCTTATTAGTTTTTCCAACAAAATGCTCCTTCTTGAGACTTCAGCGGTATGTGCCGTGGTCTCATCCTGCTAGAAATGTGTTCTCTTATTAAAGCCAGCATAGTTACGTAGCTCCGGTATACAAAAGTGGTCCAGCATCTCGCAGTATCTTTCTGCAGTGACGGTTCCACGTTCGCCAAAAAATAAGGGCCGATTCAAACCTACTAAATAACCCGCAACACTTCCGCGTCGAACGACACCTCATTCTCCTCCCTAGCCCAACTCCTGTACCCGTTAGTCCGGTCCAAAGCGTAAAATCTGCCGGCGGACACCCTGTATTATACAGCTATCATAGAATAAGATGAGAGATATATTGACATCATATTTCCATTAAGACAATATGATATATAAGAATTTTTTGTCGTGTCTTAAATGATTTTGTCCTGTCACATGCCTTAATTTAACATTTCATCACTCACCGTTATCAATGTGCAGTGCAATGACTTGGTCCTCTCGAAGTGCTGTCCTTAGCAAAGCCGCACAAACTGTAGAGTCTACACCTCCACTCACCAGTACCTGGGGTACAAAATTAAACACTTATCAAATATGGTTCATTCTATTATTGTGATAAAACACTGAGAATAGTCCTTTTCCAACACTGATCTGCCAGATCATACTCATTGCTTCATATGCCAATGATCCATTTTGCAATTGCTGGTAAGAGGTGTTTAAAAACTAGTCATCCCCAAGCTACGAGTACGAGTAGGTTATGTTATTATTATTTTCATGTTATAATTGATTTATTTTTGGTTAAAATTTATATTATAAAATGTAGAGATTATATAGAGATATATTATGTTTAAAGAAATTAAAACACCCATTAATTAAACTTATTTAAATCATGTTATATAGTGTTGGGGGATGAGTCACTCGCGTCCGTAGGCTTCGACCACCTAATTCTAGGCCCACCCTACACGTGTCCCCCGGGTGGTGCTAAACAAGCGACAAAGCCCAAAGAACAGATTCGGCTCCTCGCCGTGTGGTAGCGGCGTAAAAAATACCACACCCTACTTTCGCACCATGAGGCAAAAAATTTACGAAATGGCCCCGAGTTCCCGGCGCCCCTTTAATGGGGCAGGGGTGTGAAGAATCTCCGGGAGGAAAACCGGCGACGAGGTTCGCCACCCGTCACGTTCTGTCCCCCGGAGGGGCGAAAAGTGGATTGCGGTAGCGCGTCTGGCTACATTGAATGTATGTGGAGGAATGAATGATAAGATGGATGAAGTATGCAATATGATGTATGATAGAGGAATAGACGTGTTATGTGTAAATGAGACGAAACGGAAGGGAAAGGATGCCACTACACATTGCATGTATACCGCGTACTGGTCTGGTGTAGACGAGACCGAGCGGGCATGCCAGGGAGTCGGTATCATCTTTTCAGAAAGAATGGGTCATGGTGTGAAAGAGTATGAATGTGTAAGCCCGAGACTGCTATGGATACGAATGAAAGTGGGCTTAAAGAAGTTGTTTGTTTTAGGGGTCTACGCCCCAGACATGTCTAAGCCCACTTATATCCGAGAGCAGTTTTGGGAGTTGGTAAGGATGGTGCTAATGAAATGCAAGGTTAATGAAAATATTGTGATATTAGGCGATTTTAATGGAAGGGTTGGGGTGAGGAGGCTTGGTTATGAAAGGATATTGGGAATGTTTCGTGATGAAAGTATAAATGAGAATGGTGAAAGCCTCCTCACCGTATGTGTGGAAAAGAAACTTTTTGTGACGAACACTTTCTTTCGTCATAACAAGATTCACACGTATACATGGGAAAGAGGTGATGATAGAAGTATGATAGATTTCATAATTGTTGATGAAAGAATGAGGAGCGCGGTGGTAGATACAGGGGTTTATCGGGGCTCTAACGTAGGGACGGACCATTACTTGGTCTTATGCCAAATTAATGGTCTTTTCAGATGTTGGAGGCATCGGACATCTGTGTCTTCCACTGCGTTACAGCGTATAAGAACAGAGAGGTTACAAGATGAAGGTGTGAAAGAGAAGTTCAAATGTAGATTGAGAGAAAATATAAGTGGTATGGCTGAATTGTGTATGAATGATTTAGACTTGGCGACTGTGTGGTATAATGTCAAGAAAAGAAAGCAATGAAAAGTATGAAAGCAGGTAAGGCAGCCAGATATGATAGAGTATCTCTCGAAATGCTAAGGGATGGAGAAGGAGTGGTGGCAGACCTGCTGTACACCTTGTTTAATCTATGTTGGGAACTTAAGCGGGTACCGGGAGACTGGTGCAAAGCCGTGATAGTCCCAATATATAAAGGAAAAGGATCACAGCAGGACTGTAGAAACTACCGTGGTATCAGCCTTCTTAGCATTGTGGGAAAACTGTATGCTAAGGTACTAATTGAAAGAGTTATGAAAGAAACTGATGATAAAATTTGGGATGTGCAAGCGGGATTTAGAAAGGGAATGGGATGTACGGATCAGGTCTTTTCCATGTGCATGGTCACGGAGAAGTTTTTGGCCAAAAACCAAAAAGTTTTTTGTGCGTTCATGGACTTGGAGAAGGCTTATGACAGAGTGGACAGGGATATGTTATGGCAAACACTGAACTCATTTGGGTTGAGCACTGGGTTGATACTGGCATTGAAGTCTCTGTATAGGGACTCTAGTGCTTGTGTCAGGATCAACGGAGCCTACTCAGATTGGTTTGGCATCCATAAAGGTGTCAGACAGGGCTGTGTGGCTTCCCCGTGGCTGTTCAACCTATTTATGGATAGTTGTTTGGAAAATTTGAAAGTAGAAGAATGCGGGTTAAGAATGGGTGAGTTAACCGTCAAATGCCTTTTGTACGCCGATGATCAAGTCATACTTGCGTCATCGGCAGCCGAGTTGCAAATGATGGTTATATTAATGAACAGGACATTAAAAGAAAAGGGAATGAAAGTGAACGCAAGTAAGACGAAAGTTATGGGTTTTGAAAGAGAAGAAAGTAAAACAATATGTAAAATAAGAATAGAAGGGGAGTTGGTAGAGAGTAGATGAGTTTGTGTATTTGGGATGTGTGTTTAGCAGGGATGGTAGATATGATAAGGATATAGAACGACGAATGAATGCAGGAAATAGAGTGAATAGGGCTCTACACCCTATTGAGAAAAGTCAGAATGTGTCCAAAAACGCATGTATGGCAATTCACAATGCTGTGTTAGTACCTACTATAATGTATGGTAGAGAAAGTTGGGTGTGGCAGAAGAAGCACGAGAGTAGAATAAATGCTGTAGAAATGCGGTCATTAAGGAGTATGTTAGGGATGAATCTGAATGACAGAGTGAGAAATTGTTTAATAAGAGAAGAGTGCCGTTTGCAAGATGATGTTGTGACCAGGAGTAAGAAAGGAATGCTTCGGTGGTTTGGTCATGTAGAAAGAATGAATGAGGAAAGAGTGACACAGCAAATTTATGTTGCAGAGGTGAACGGCAGAATCGGGAAGGGTCGTCCTAGGCGAAAGTTTATCGACCAAATTGGCGATATATTGAAAATGGGCCAAATCAAGAGTACCTTTAACCGACGAGCGTGTATGCGTAGGTATATGGATGTGGAGGAAGAGAAAGAGGTGTGTCAGGATCGTGCCAAATGGAAGTCCATAGTGCATACCTACCCCTCTGGGTGGCAGGCGTGAGTGTTTATGTTATGTTATATAGTCCTAAAGTTAAATTATTATTTTTGGATGTAAAATATTGCGTCAGAGCCCGATTATATAAAAAAAAACTGTTTATATATAAAAGATAAAAATAAAAAAGGAGATAGCCAACTACTCTCAAATAATCTAGAGTGTAACACTCACCAGCACTTTATTATCTCCGACGGTATCGCGTATGTACTGCACGCAAGCCTCGCGACGAGAGCGTAACGTAAACGTGCGCGTTAGCCCCGCGATGTCAAACAGGAAGTTAGACAGCATCTGCTTGCCTTTGGGCGTTAGATCCACCTGTATTGGGTAGTTCACACGATTATCAATAGGTTTTTAACAGTGGTAGAGCCACGCGGCAGCTTTTATTGTCGCACGGATGGGCCGGCTCGAACCGGGGTAGTACCACGACCTCACAGAAAACCAGCGTGAAGTAGAGGTTTACCTCTGCGTTTCGCTTGGTGAGTGCAGGTGGCCGGAGGCCCTTTTTACTGGAAATGAGGCATTCCATCTTAGTCCTCACGGGTGACAACGCATCTACATTTTGATTTGTAACAGAGGATAGATGTAGATGTCTATGGGCCGCAGCAACCACTTACCATCAGGTGGACTGTGTGCTCGTTTGTCACCCTTATCCTATAAAAAAAAAAAAGGTTACAAAGTCATTTAACTCAAATTTGCTACTTTTATAGTATGTAAGTAATATGGTCATCCGGTTAATATGGTCACTTTCTTATAACTCTAAAACTACAGCCTTGTATGAATAGATGGCTCTGTGATACGACAGCTCTTCATCAGTCAATTAAATAATAAAGGGTCAAAAAAGCGCCCATTTATCGACGCCATTTTGACAATTGACATTATAGTAAATATTTTAGTCAATAATATGGTCATCCAGTTAATATGGTCACTTTCTTATAACTCTAAAACTACAGCCTTGTATGAATAGATGGCTCTGTGATACGACAGCTCTTCATCAGTCAATTAAATAATAAAGGGTCAAAAAAGCGCCCATTTATCGACGCCATTTTGACAATTGACATTATAGTAAATATTTTAGTCAATTTTAGGTTGATTTTTCGAAATGTTCCTAATTATTGCCAAAGCTTGTTTGCTATTTTTGCTTAATATATTAATTATATTATTTTTGTCTCTGTCCTCCCCCTAGTTTTGGTTTTATAGGGAGGCAATGCTTCAGGTGACCATATTACCCTCACGTACCTTAGTGCATCAAAATTTCCTTGGGTGTCCATTTTAAGTTATATTATAATTTTATTATATTAAAATATATACATTTTAATAAATTACACACGTAAGCAGTTGCATACGTATTCGCGAGTAATTTCTTCTGTTTCTTACTGACAGGTTACATTACATGTCTGGTTCACATCTATACAAAAACGCCAAAGTCAATATCATAGTATTGGGGTAACATCACCAGTGCGAATGCTGGTGCTGCCTTACTCATTTACCAGGTTTAATAAATATAGGCAACTAAGAATAGATACACATCACCCCTGTGGACTAAGATGGAGATGCCTTATTACGCCGTAAATAAGGGTTTTCGGTTCTCACCGATCCTCATATTTTAGTACTCTAGTATTCAGCTTGTCTCGTTTATAGATAACTAGTGGCCGCAACTGCTGATCATGTGGTCCTGAATTCGAAGGCTTTGTCGGGCCAATATCAGCTATTGAGTTTTTCTGACAAGAAATTCTCAGTAGTGACGGCCTGCTTGTCAGGAATTTAGCAGTTTTTCAAGCCAGGGCCTCAGAAAGCACTTAAAGTGATTGGTCCTGCACCTGATCATCGTCGCCGGATCGTCGTTGCCGTCTCATTGGACTATGAGAGCGGGGGAATAGAACTTACACCGGTGCATGCGCACATACTCGTGTACTACAATACAATATCCATTGATTAGCCACCGTGACCGAAATTTGATGTAGAGAACATTACCTATAAAAAAAATCAGTGCAAGCTGACACTAACCTCGGGATGGAACTGCACTCCGTAGAGGCGCATCTGCTCGTTGTAGATGGCGGCGATGAGATGGTTGGAAGAGTGTGCGGCGACGCGGAAACGGTCGCCCACCTTCTGCACGCTGTCACCGTGGGTCAAAAGCACTGGCTGCAGCTTCTCCAGCCGGCTGCACGGTACACACACACAAGTGCATTACTTTACGTCAGAGCTGTCCAAGCCAAGGCCCGCATACCACTTGTGGCTCAATCAACGATTATTTATCTTTTTTACAACATTGCGAGTCAGAACCTGAAGATGTCATACAAGGTGACTATGAAATATGAAGTAAAAAAGTTCGTCAACGGGAAGCAGAGTCAAAGGTACGAAACGTCTGGTAATGTGATCGTCAATCCGGAGTGCAACAATTAAGACATATGCTCTGAGAGAAGTCCATGTCCTACAGTGGATTTTTACGGGCTGTTGATGAAGATTGGAGTCAGAAACTGTCCAACTGAAGGTTGATCACTCTAGCCTATGGATATATGTAACCAAATTCAAACACAGAAGGCCACAGAGAACTGGGCTGCAGAAATACGTAAGCTATTTATTTGATAAGTAATATATTAAGTTAAACTCCTAGGCAAACTATTAGCTTTAGGTTCTACCACCTAGCTAAGTTTGTACAATAAAAATCACGTTGCAATAAAAAAAGATGTGAATGTATTAAAAAAAGTCAAAGATTTGCCGTGGTGTGGTAGCAGTTTGCAATAAAACCATCATCCAATTTATCGCATAAATCCCATAAGCGACTATAGGACTATAAGAAAAATTGCTCTTCCCATTTATCTTAATTTTCCTTCTATTGTAGATTGCTACTGGTTTATGTTGTAATTGTGTTACTTATTCAACTTACTTAAACAACGGGCACGTAGTCTCGACTTCGACTTCATACTGTCCATCTTCTCGCGCTTCCTTCCGCAAAACTGAACCGCCGAACTCTTTATTCAACATTTGCATACCATAGCATATACCTGAAGAAATATGTAAAAAAATGTACTTATTAAATATAAATAATCTTATGTTCGATTCTCGAATGGCAGCCACGTATCGGTACGCGAAGTGTAGGGCGATGAACTGACGAACTGGTAAGAGATGCAGGACGTCAATGGATGCAGGTGGAATCCATCAATAGAACCATGCTTTGTGGCATTTCTGGAGACATTTGTTTAGCAGTGGACTTGTGACGGGCTGATGATGAGAATAAATAAATAAAAATTTCAATACGTCGTACTTATTAGGTCCATGACATTTCGAGCAATTTATATTGAAGGATTTTGCAAAGTTTTAATGTTAATACAAGATGTAACATGATGTTGACACACCAATGTGCCCGTTAACTCGGAGACGCACTTATGAGTCAGCACAACTAAAAGCATCAGTGTGACCATTGTAATGGCAAAACCATGCGCTGGTTTGCTGTATTTCATTTATCTTTCTCTATGTCGTCTAATCTGTAATGTTTTGTGTTGCACAGATCTAGGTTGTGATAAATTCCAAATAAAAAAAATTATCGTGGCGGAAGGGTTTAGTAGCCGTGGCTTGGTCACCCGTGGTGAACTAAGAGGAACCCACATGCCTGGCCCCTGGGGTAGGTCTGGCCTGAGGTGGCCAGACCTACCCCAGCTACCTGTTGGTGGGCTGCAGCGAAAGGGGTATGTTTATGGGCTGCGGCGAAAGAGGTGTGTTGGTATGGCGATGCGCCACTCGCCCGATCGTTTGCGACTCTAACGGGGCCCCACCGTTGATGTGGTGGTGGTGGGGCTGTGGGGGGAGGGGTGTGTCGGTATTACGAGGAGCCGCTCTCCCTACCCCCGCAGCCGAATCTTGGTTGGCGGCGGAGCCATAGACTAGATATGCCGCTAGGGTCAGGAAGGCTAGTGCTTTTGAATGCTCGTTTTTCCTGGCCCCATGGCCTTCGCACATCGGACACGGGGGCGTCCGTTACGTAGGTGAAGTTGGAAGCCGCGCCACGTGTTCTGGTGCGCCTTACTTGAGGAGATAAGGGAGGAGTAGTCCTCTCAGAGGAGTGGCCGCCAAGAAGCGGCCAGTGCTGATGGGGCTACGGATGTGTGGGAAAGCGTAGACGTAGCCTTGCCAATATGCGACGAATGTGGAACACCATTAGGTTTAAGTCAGTGCAAGTCCGACATAACCCGTCCTTGCCCCGCGAGGCGGTTATGCGTTGGCATTTCCCCATGTAAAACAAAAAAAAGGTTGTGATAAATTATTCTTACCTAAAACTGGCAGCCCTATCTTGAATATGTCAGCGTCATATCTCGGCGCGTCTTCAGCATATACCGAGTTAGGTCCACCTGATATAATTATGGCCCGGTATCCTGCCTCCTTGAGATGGTACGCAGGAGTGTCCAAAGGCAATATGTCTGATTCAACACATAACTCGCGTACCCTACGGTCTATCACCTGAGGACAATAGCATATAATTTTTAGCTTATTAAATGAAATGAAATTTAATCGTGTGTTAGCTACGTAAGATATTCAATTAACCCATTTCGTCCATAGGCTGTCATAAGAGTTGACTATAGGAAAAGCCAGAAAAGCCTAATAGTTTTCCGTAGATAGCGGTGTAACTATCTAGCTAACGCCAGGAAAAAATACCCACACTGGCGACGGGAAGCAGCATTAAAAGTGCGAAACGTCTTGTAATGCGATCGTCAATCCAAATCAAGTGTGACAATAAAGACAAATCTTTCCCTTATACTAACATTTTTTTTATAGGATAAGGTGACAAACGAGCACACAGTCCATGTAATGGTAAGTGGTTGCTGTGGCCCATAGAAATCTACATCTATCCTCGTTTGCAAATCAAAATGCAGATGCGTTTTCACCCGTGAGGACTAAGATGGAATGCCTCTTTTCTAGTAAAAGGGTCTCTGGTTCTCTACACTCACCATACAAAACACAGCAGTGTTAGACTGCTATTTAACGCTGGTATTCTGTGAGAGTGTGGTCCTAACCCGGTCGATCCGACCCATTTGTGCTACAACTATCCTACTAATATAGCTGCAGGATGGCTCTACCATGTATCATCATTCATTAAAAGAAACTAGCTTCATTACAAAAATTGTATTGCAAATACTTTGTATTTCGTTATATAATACAGCTCGCAAGAAATATAGCTTACAACTTAAGTATAAAATTGTTTATGGGTTAGTGGGATGAATATTAGATAATGTTAATTATTGGTATTGTTGTTGTTGCTTATGAAATAGTATGCGGCAGTGAAATGATAAGCTGATTAAAACTAATAAATTATTGCGTAATACAATTTAAAATAATAATATGTTTGGATGATTTCCCCATTCACACCATATGCTGTGCAGGCGGGTTGAAGAGCTGGTAATAAGCTGGTAACCCATCATATGTCTTCGAAACTTAAGTTAACCATAATTCTTCGGATATCAGAAGGGTGCATCCCTTGATATCTTCTACTTCGGTTTCTTCTTTATTAGATCATAAAAGTCCACAGCTGGCTTCTCCCGTTATAGGGAAAATTATCCTTAATTGACATGCATGACAGGTAGATTGATGATCGAAGTACCCAAGGATCTTACTTTTGACACTGGTATACGTCGCCGGTCTGAGTAATGTACGTCTGGCGTAAACAAGATGATATATGGAAAATCTCTAAATCTAATAGGATAGTTGTTTCAAAAATTTTGTAGTGCTTGAAAAATTTTTATACTCCTTAATATGTATATCTCTTTTACAAATATATTGCATTATTCCCTTTTAGGCACTAAGCATGTGATATAATTTACTACATGCTCGGTGGCATTTAAGATGGCGGTCAACAATTTATAGGGTGAAGAAATGCCCACATAGGTGCTATGAATTTTAAAATGGACAAATAACCCATGAGTTACCGCAACTGCACATAATATGTTAATTATTTATTAATTAAAAACTATAATAAGAAAAAACTAAACTAGTAATTTAATTATCATGCAGTCCTACTCCCCGTGGTATTGTGCTAAGAACGCTGGCTGCGTTTCCCCGGTGAATTATTGCTTGTGAATATTTTTAGAACTAATGCATTGTCCATCACTGCTAACTGTAAAGACAGCAAGTTGAAAGTAAACGAGCTACAGAAAGGCTATGCTTGGGGTTTTTCTGCTTGTTCATCAAGTTCATCTATGATGAAGATATTCGCAACATAAGCAGAGTTACTGACACCTAAACAAATCAGTAGGCTGAAGTGGAAACTGGCCGGCTGTTAGCACAAAAAATTTACAAACAATAGGGGAGAAATGTTCATGCAACTACCCCTTGTAGGTGGTCCACACACATGTTGGACCACCTACAAGGAGTAGACTACCACCCAATGAAACATGCAGGTAGATTATGGCAAGTCACAGGAAAGACATACTATAAAATTTATGTTGTTATTGCATATAAATATTGATAAAATTATCAAAATGGATACAAACCTTCCCATATTGTGAGCCTGCATCCAATATAGCGACTTTGTCTCTACCATGAGTAGATCCATTGGTACCGCGGTACTGTCCCTCAGTGCTGGCTGTGTGCATCTCGCCAACTCGCCAGCAACACTATTATGACACAAAAGTTATACATTTCTTATTCAATTGTAACAAAGCTATAATATGTTCATATTAATATTTTTCCAAAGTAGAGTTCGTTTTGAAATGTAGCAATTTTTAAATATATGTTATAAAATATAAAGTACCTCATTTCAGTATTGTATGTCACTAGAAGTTGATTATCAAGTACCAACTAAAAATTACATAGATTTTTTTATTTTATTTATAAAGCCATAAAAAGAAAAAAGGCTATTAGTAAAAGCCAATTTTTCTTTACATTATATTGTTGAAAAATAGATGGTTTAATGAGAAGCACATGCTCAAGTTTGTGTAACATGGATATGTTTCAATACTTTTCATTTAAAGAAAATGAACACACCTCAAAGAACTTTGATATAACCCTTTTTTATATTTTTGATACTATTTCCAAACCAATTTTGCAATAACTTATATTTTGTAGTCTCGTAAAACTTTAACCAATGTTGGATATACCTAAAATAAGCCCTAAATTTACGCAAGAATATAAGCAAGTTTCAATCTATTTAGTAATTTAGCTAAGTCCTAATAAACTCATTACAGTGTGCAATTTATAATTTATTAATATATTTTTCGATAATTTTGTGTCAATTAAAAAGCAGCAATTATTTTCTAACTAATTAATTAATAGATTGATTCTTTACATTAATACTAAACACAATTAAAATAATTATTTTAATACATAACATTCTCAAGCTATTAAGTTAAAAAAACATACTAGAAGTTGTGAAAGAAAAACATATTAAGAAGCATCTGTACTCTGTAGACACTATATTCTATACATATAAATAAAATTGAAGTGTATGTCCGTAATATTGAAACAACTGACTTCTATTAAGCTATTTAATTATTTAAGAGGGACACAAATAACCATTTTTTATTTTAGACTGTCTGTCTGACCTAATATTTGGAATGGCTGAACCGATTGTGATGGAACTTCAGATAGAGATCAAAGCCAAGAAGGATCTAGGCTAAATTTCATGCGAACAACTTGAAGATTAAAAAAAAACGAAAGATTGATGACTTTAACAGATCCTAACCAGGTGAAGCCAGGGTGAGTCGCTAGTATAATATAAAAATATTGTAATAAAATGCCTCTAATTGTTTATCTCATACAGCACAATACATTATTTAATAGCATATGTAATAGTTTCCTGCTAGAGTGCAACTTGAAATCCTAAAAAAAATTTGAACTGGCTAAATTTATTTATTTATTTATTTATTTATTTATTATTGGACAACACAACAGATTACATCATGCCTTAAAGCTATAACTTACAATAATATTAGTGTAATACAAGACATAATCCTTATACGTGTTATCACGGCATGCCAAGATTGAGAAACAAACATTTTAAATAAAATTGCTTAAACTAACAGGCTCATAAATCCAACAAATTAAGAACTATAATTTTAGTGAATATCAATCAAAGGGGATGTCCTTGAGAATGCCTTTCAAAACATTTCTAAAGTGAACCAGACTATTGTTGAAGATGTCAAGGTTGGTAAAGCGAAGGCTATAATTCTCATAAAGTCGACATAACCTTGATAGGGGTTGATTCCGGGAGATATTATTTCGCGATAGGGGTATGTCAAATATTTTTTTCATAGGTCTATGTGGGTTGTGTTTTATGTTAAAATTTAACAGTTCCAAAACCTCGGGACTGTCCAGTTCCGAGTGTATTATTTTGTGTAGGTTAACTAGGTCCAATTCGTCGGGACGGAGGTGAAGTGGTGTCATGTCAAACTCTTTAAGCCTCTCAGCATATGACCGGAGTCTTCTATTGTTGCCGGTACGTAAGCTCAATAAACGCAAAAACTTGGATTGGATCGATTCAATGCGCTCAGAGTGCACTGCGTAGTATGGGTTCCATATTATTGAACTATATTCTAAATTACTTCGAACCAGACTGTTATATAACAAAATTAAACTTTGAGAGTTCCTGAAGTGCCTGCTCTGTCTGGTAACGAAACCTAGTACCTGGTTAGATTTTTTGGCTATGAGATCGTAATGTTGGCGGAAACTAAGCTGTTCGTCAAACAAGACCCCGAGATCCCTGATAGACGACACACGAGACTAAAGCCCAAGTACAGTAAAAATGCAATTGAATAAACTGGTTTTAAGGGTTATGTCACTTATATCAATACACAGTGCTACAACCGATAAGTTAATTTAGTAATAAACCAATATACATAATATGTTGATTTCAAAATGGGTCATATCTTTATATATAAAAATTACATGTCACATTGTTTATCCGCGATGAACTCCTATACTATTGAACTGACTTCAATGAAATTTTGCACACTGTGTGCAATTTGGTCTAACTTGAGAGATAGGATACTTTTTATCCCAATAAGTAAATATTTTTTTATTGCGAATTTAGGATTTTTTCATAAGAAAGGTCGTCGGAAAGAGCAGAACAACGTCTGCCTGGCCAGCTAGTAAATGATATAATTTATTGCGACGAAATCTTGTCAGTGTGTTTTAATGGTTTGTGTATTTTTGAGCCCGAATGAGCGAAAATGTCTTTTCCATTTAGGCCATTACAGCACTGGCAGATCTATGAAATAAACTGGTTTGCAAAAACACTCAACAAAATGGATATAAAATGTTTAATAACTAATAGAATCAGTCATTACTTTGTGGAAATCTATTATATTAAAGATGCTAAAACTTATTTTAATTTTAAAATTAATTGTGGTGGTCGACAGTTACTTTAGTGTCAACCACATACACTGACACATTCACTACACATTCACATTCACTACTACCTCAATTACTGAAAATCATCAGTCTACACTAGCAACATAAAATTTGTAACAAGCATTGAATTCTTTTAAATACTACTGCAACATGGCACTATGTTACACTACCTAAAACAACAAGAGGAGGAGGGGTGAGGCTTTACTGTCGACTTGACAAAATCACACTACCCACTCTTATTAAATCTGGTTTATTATTTAATCTCTTTTGTGTAATACTGCTATGTTTAAAAATATATTACATTAATTTTTAAAGTTATATACCAAATTATGTCAATATGTTACTAACAAATTATTTATGTTAATGTGAAATATTATTACAAAATTATGAAATAGAAATAATAGAGGTCACTCCTCTGAAGGGACTAGTCATGAATTTGTAATTTATCTTGATTAAATATTTACAATTTCTTTAATAAACCGTTTAGGATGGTAGGGATGGGGTTTATTTAATTACTTAAAAAACCACTACATGCATACCACTTAATTATCTATAGAAGATAAATATTAAAAAAAAATATTACTGTTACATACAACCTAAATTAATCTTATCATTATTATTATACTAAATCTCATTATTCAAATGTGGTTATACCTTACTAAAAATGCTTTTAAAAATGTACATCATAATAATATATCACAACAATGGGTAATTCAAATAAAGCACTGAACTTGTGGAAATGGACATTTTCACTGTGACAGCACAAGACATCACCTGACAGAACAATAATGGTATCTTATAGCTTCTGTACAAAACATTAAAACTGTAAATATCTAAATGAAGTAATATAAAAAATATTTACGTGATAATATGACATTCAAGTATTGTGCACACTAGAAGGAACAGTGTGTGGTTATTTATAGAAACCATCCCACATGAAGCGTGTGTACATGTGTAAGTACAGAATTGCATTTGGATCAGATATTGGACAAACATTCAGTACGGTTGGTTCTAAATTAAGCCAATATTGTTTCCTTATTAAACCATACACAAAAACTTAAACATATTCTAATAATAATACTGTGCTGTTGTATGGCACTAAACAATAAATTACACAATTAAAATTAAGTCTCATTAATTCTGTTTGACATATTATTATATACACAATATTTATTTTAATATTAACATTAATAATTTATTTACAATCTTTTAGTCTATAGGAATACATAAGGATTATTAGAAAAAAAAGGAAATATGAATACTGAAATAAAATTTTACAAATATAATTAATTATGATAAAAAGCAAATTGTTGTTAAATTAATCAATCCACTTTGTGAACATGTGATCCTAATTATAAACAATTTATATACCTTATCGGTTAACTGTTAAATGTCAAATAGGAACTTTAGCACTATCAAACTTAACACAGGAAAGGTTACAAAAATATAGTTATCAGCTTGTACTGAAATACTTGCCTATTTTACAAATAAACCTTGAAAATGATGTAACATTCATGTGATGATTACAGTGTGGACAAAAAATTAAAAAATACCACGACATGTAACTAAATGATAATCAAAAAGTTAACAAAGGGATTTTTGTATACCAACCTTTCTTAAAATACAAAACATTATACACTATATGGAGAAAAATTCTAAATCATGAAACATCTTAAAAAATTAAAGATACAAGATGCAATGATAATAATACAGATAACATTGAGATAATTCCAAGCATTCTTTTAGGCATTATCAGAAGATATGTAACCAAGACCGGGTGACACCGCATTGTGGTTTCGATACCTTATGCACATACAAACAAAGGCATAAAAAAACCATCAATTTGTTTACTGAAATAATATCGGAATAATTAACTAAAATGACAAATCAGAAATGTACGCAATGCAATCCAAATTACAAGCAAAACCGGGCTTTGACATTACTTACATTCTGGGTCATGATGAGGTACTAAATTCATGTTAAGCCTTTAGCACTTACCACCGTAAATAAAGCTACTACAATTATTTTTTATTCTCACCTAAGCTTGAATACGTATATTAGATTTCAGAAGCAAGAATTCATTAAAAACACGAAAAAGTGTGATTTCCATTCAGCACTACGAATACAAATTTTATTAGTACTAAAAATAGTCTATAGGTGGCTCTAGAGTCGGATATTTGTCACAAAGAGAATATAACCACTTGATTTGTCACTGCGTTCAGGGTTGCCAAATTTATTTTTTAGGAGATCGTACCATAAGCTGGAAAAAATCGTATTTTGCTAAGAACTCAAAAAAAATAGTACCTATGCATTAATATTTCAATAAAACAATGGAAAAATACGGAAATAGTATTATTATAACTTCAAATCAAAATTTTAAATTTAGGGTACAACGTTTAAAAATCTGACACTAAACTTTACTACGACTTTTTTTTAATTAAGAAAAGGGGCTCGGACTGTCTCCACTCTGCCCTCTATTACAAAGATATATAAATAAAAAATATATGTAATACATAATTATCTGTGTAGTGTAATATTATTTGGATTAGAACGATCAGAATGATGTAAAACAATTCGAAGAAAGGCAGTTTAAATTGCGCGTGGAATTCCTTAGTCAGCGACGAGTTGACTGAACAGTATAAGCTGCGTATTTTTAAAGTGCAAGTGGGATAGAGATTTGAGTTGGATGCGTTCATAAAAAAATACACAGAAGAAGTTTAGAGCTCATTCAATTTTGATGTCATTGATTTTTCATATCGAAAAAATGAACTTAATCAATTATCATTTTTATTTTGTTATAAAGATTATAAGATTTAAAAAGATCGTATTGCATGCCTTAAGTGAAAGCGCAAAGTATGTTCTACTATCGCCTAAAAATTAGGATTCCAACGTTTTATCGAATAAAATCGTATCTAGCAATAATATTATACATATAAATGATATAAAAAGCACATTGTTAGAAAGATAAATGATTGTTGAACTTATTAATTTTTTTTAAATCGATTAATTGCTATTTTTACATAAAAAGGGGGTTTTATAGTAGCTCATTTTGTGGATTTATCAAGTCGGCAAGGCTTGTAAACACTCTTACTTTTGAAAATATCAATTGTTTAACTCAATCTATTTTTAATCTTTCATCTATCATGTGGGAAGCCAATGAATGTAAATGGCAGTGTAATTTTGTTTTGTTTAGCTATAATTAATTTTTTTCGGCTCCAAAATGGTGAAATTTTCGTTGATTTGATAGCCTTGTATGTAAATTATTTCTGTAAATAGGGAGCTACAGCCACAGAGTACTTTACTCACTCACTCAGTTCGGCGCAGTATCATATTAGTCTGTGGTTCGGCGTCAATCGTCGTCGTGAATGGACATTGTTTCGGTTGTTTGCAACGGCTCAAAAAGATCGCTGTACAAATACACAATATTCGAATAACTAAATTTCTTAAATACTTGATTATAATAATAATGAGAGATTTTTTTTTACTACAATATTTTAAAAACACTGAATAAATAATAGTAGTAAATCCAAGATGGCAGCCGTAATAGGTATCAATTTTTTCATCATGGGTTTTCGAGGGTGCTGAAGCCGATAGTGCTGTCGAAATGTAAATTTAAGGTGGCGGCTGCAATAGGTATCAATTTTTTCATCATGGGTGTTATTTTCATGGTTTTCGAGAGAGTTGAAGCCGATAGTGCTGTCGAAATGTAAATCCAAGATGGCGTCTGCAATAGGTATCAATTTCTTCATCTTGGGTGTCATTTTCATGGTTTTCGAGAGAGTTGAAGCCGATAGGGTTATCGAAATGTAAATCCAAGACGACGGCTGCAATAGATATCAATTTTTTCATCATGGGTGTCATTCTCATGGTTTTCACGGGTGTTGAAGCCGATAGTGCTGTCGAAATGTAAATCCAAGGTGGCGGCTGCAATAGGTATAAATTTTTTCATCATGGTTGTCATTTTCATGGGTTTCGAGGGTGTTAAAGCCGATAGTGCTGTCGAAATGTATTTAAACTACTTTAAAAAATTCCGTATAATCATGTTATACGTAATTTTTTTAATGCGCTTAAGGCATGCCCAATGGGTCTGGCCACCCAATTTTGTTAAGGGTATCAAAAAATTGTATAAAAAATTACGAATTCAACGGTATTCTTATTTTATTTTCTACCTTTAAAAATGACTGAAATATTGTTAAGTAAAATGATGTTTTACGGTAAGGGCGACCGCTTTGCTCCGCATCGCGATGTGACGTCATACGGCCAGCAGTGAAGAACCATGTCTCAGATCCGTAAGTCATCACTGACAACACGCACTGGTTGTGCAATTTCGTTTTCAGGTTTTGAGGTATGTCTAACGATAAGATGTGTCGTAGTTTCCCGAACGCTGCCCAGCCGAGTTGAATCCTCATGGGAATATAAATGTAAAATATTATTAATAGTTCATTCATAATAACAGATTAGATTATTAGATTAAATTATTCATCATAAATAATATTGATTATATTGGATTATATTAGATTATTCATAAATTATTAGTTCAAAATTATTATATAGTCGTTGGGTTTATTATAAGTATTATGTCATCTAATACAGTCAACCGGACATTAACTCTGACATTCGATATAATATGTAGGTAAACGACCGTATACTTCCGAGCGCGCGGTTAGTACTGAACTTAGCAAGTTCCTACTGCACGTTCGCTCTCTCGGATTTTGACGTCACGTCACATAGAACGAGCGGGTAAAAATTAAAAAATATTGCGAAACTTCAAAACGTTATAACTTTCGTATTTCTGCACCAATTTGGATGAAACAAAAACTATTGTTATTTTCATAAACATAGCTTTAAAGCTATATATTACAAAATTATTAATGTCCTTAGTGAGTTTGCGTCAGTTTAGATGAAAATTAACTCCTTCCTAAACGGCGAGAGGAGGGGGGGGGGAGTATCCGTGGCTTTATAACCCATGGTAAACGTAGGGCGACTCACATGGCTGCCCCGAAGTGAAGGGCTGGCCCAAGGTGGCCACTCGAAGTGGGCTTATCGAGCCCTCGGATGTGTGCTAGTGAGCTGCGGCTAGAGGGGAGTCCTCTCTCTATGTCGCTGCAGCCGAGGTATAGTCGCAAGGGAAGAGGATTGTTGGTATGGTAATGCGCCACTCGACTATACTCCGCGACTTTGGCAGGACTGTACCACTTGTTGCTTCCGAGTGCTCCTTTTTTCTTGATTCCATGGCCCCTACATATCGGCTCGGGAAGTCGAGAGGGAAGTCCTCAACAAGGGAGGCGTCCTCGCTGGTGGGGCCGCGGATGTGCTTGATAGCGTTTTCGTGGCCCTGTCAATGTGTGGTGAAGATGGAACAACATTCGGCTTAGTAGGTGCAACTCCGACATAATCCATTCTTACCCCCGTAATGCAGGTATGCGTAGGCATTTTCTCATTTAAAACGCGGAACAAAATCCGTTGTGTAGTTACAAATGAAAACGTAAATAGATCAACGCAGCATCGATTCTTGTTTTATATGAGGTATAAAGCTTGCGTCTAAGACCTAGTTATTAATTGATACATTTACTTATTGTATGGTATTATATTAATATGAAACAAATAGAATGGACGTTACGGGTATAGAATTCTTATCGATATATTTTTTCACTGTCTCATCTCTATTATTAGTTCCGAGGACGTTCACTTCTGCTGTTAGCGCCAAAATGGCGAACATCAAATCACCTCATTATGTCTCTGTGCATAGCCAGTCCATATATAGAGGTCAATGGATGTGTTGATCTGATCTGTTCTATTTAGCATGCTATATATTTATTATTGAGTTTTGGCGGGAACTTGACCGACGGCGGATTGCTGTTTAAATAATGGTTTGAAGTGAATTTTGATATGTTAAAGTGGTGCGATTTTGTGTATTAAGTGAAATATTAGTCGAAAAGGTGAAACAAGTGCTCTGATGGTGATGTAATTCTCAAGATAAGGTGTCTGTCTGCTTAGGCACCTTGAGATACCATCGCCAACTGTCAGCTGTCTGCAAGCTCAAGTTGCCGTCAAAAACTCCTAAAGGCTGCACAAAGTGCCGCATCAACATATTGTGATGCAATGTAAGAAGGATAATTATACATTGTAACTTCAGGCTCAGAAGGGCTCGAACCCAGAGTCGTAAAACCATTTATAAAAAAAATACATATTTATATATCTATGGTTGTATTCTACTCTATGATCTAGAGATGGTCGATGTTGTAGAAACATCGATGATGACATCGATGTTGACATCGACAGCTCAACATCGATGTTCGATGTTTATCCTACTCAAAACATCGATGTTGGCCATTATTGATGTTTTTTGCACATGTATTTAATAGGTTAGAATTAGATGAATAAAAAAATTGTCATGTTGTTTATGGTTTATAATTATTGAAATAAAAAAAATTAATAAACAATGTAATATGAAAGAGTAATTAAAAAAAATTGAAGAAGTTCACAAATATCTAATTCATATGTTATATTGTCCAATATTTTTGTAGATTGATTGAAGAAATAGTAATTTAGACAAAGAAGTACCTTTCAATCTGTTTCCTTGTTGATAAAGAGTTGAGCGAGCCTATTGAAAATAATTTTAAAATAAAATTTTGTTCAAATGACATAAGTATAACTAAAAAACTATTGGTCAGACTTATATGGGTCTAATTTATATGGGACGACATGTGAAGCACCAAATTTCAAATAAAAAAAGAATCATAGAAATCGGTTCACCTGGTTCGGAATCGGTTCAAAAAAGTTATGAGGTAAACACATTAAAAAAAGAACATACAGTGGAATTGAGTACCTCCTCCTTTTTGAAGTCGGTAGATAACAGCTCAGATGGCGCTGATGTAGGGATTGTGGTCAAATATCTCACCACAAGTTTTCTTTTTAATTTTAGATAGGTAGAACCGATAACATTGTGCTTAACATGCATTGGATCGTGTTTAAGATCAAGCATCGGATTTTTTTTAACAACCGATAAAGAAACAGACAACGACACTAATAACAAACGAAATCAGTGACAACTGCGACATTATAGTTGACACTTGACAGTTGAATTTGATACCCCATAATGATATATTTTTAGGTTATCGATGCGTTCATGCATTCTGATTTATTCAAAATCTTAAATATTTTAGAGGAGATGCAAGATTTAGTTGATATTGATTTCGCGGATTCGCAAGTACCCAATAATCGATTATGGGTTTATTGACATTGATGTTTCGATGTTTGACATGTGGCAACATCGATGTTAAAACCGATGTTTTCATTCTTGACATCGATGATCATCGACCATCCCTACAATGATCATGAATGATCACAAAATACGACAAGAAGAATTAGTATATTCGATAAACTTTCAATTTTGTATTTAAATAATTCTCGATAATTTATTGAGTTGTAAAGTTAGTTTTATAATTAAAAATGCCCGACCATTTAGGAGATGATATGAGAAAAGTGAAAGATGACAAAGAAGAACCAGAAAAGGAAATAAAATGTATCAAACTTCTTTTCACAAGTCTTAACCCATATTTTATAAAAATTTGCAGTATCCGTGTTTTAAAAACTATTTGGTTATAATTTCAGCTCTCGATGAGGGGGATATTGCACTCTTAAAATCATATGTACGTATAAATTTTACTAATTATAACGTCTAAAAAGTTTCATACACAATGACTGGCATTTTCTTACCTAAGCAATGTTATTTAACAAAATAGTAATATATAATATGTAATTTCATAAATACATGTGTAGATAAACACCGTATTTGGAGTTAAAAGCGACATTCGTTTTTTTAATATTTTAGGGACAAGGCCAATACACGAAGATAATCAAGGAAGTTGAAGATGGCATACAAACAGTTATGAAGAGAGTCAATGAACTCACAGGTATTAAGGAATCAGATACAGGACTGGCTCCTCCAGCATTGTGGGATCTTGCTGCCGATAAACAGACGTTACAAAATGAACAACCATTACAAGTAGGCAATTATACTATTTTGGATAAACTATTATCTTTTTCAGGTATTTCAATAGTGTTCTTGTATGGTTGGGATACATAAAATACTTGAAGTGTGAATGCAAGAACAGAATCAATGCGGCTCTACATATTTTTTCTTTGTTTGGCAACTACCAATGGATTCTGCCAGTGTCAAGTATTTTATGAAAGTCACACACTGTATTAAACTAGTTTAATACAGTGTGTGACGTAGTTAGGCTTATGTGAGCTTCATAAGCTCATACCGCCATCTCCATTCTCCCATTGGAATACCAGATGTACTGCACATTACCATCTACTCATACTTGGTTGATATTCTGAATATTCATGCTAAGTGCTATAAGTAATCTTTCATAATGCACACTGCCAAGAATAGAATGGAATAATTTTTTATTCAATACAGATCTCCTGAGTAATTCTTATTGAGTAATTTTTTTTTACTTTTATTTTACCACTAATTCGAAAAAATCCTTCTGTCCTGGGAAGAACCAGCAAGAAACCCAGTGGGACTTTTTTTAAAGTAAATTTTACATGAATGGTTTTACAAACTATTTACAAATTTTATTTTAGAAAAGGAGTGAAATGCCCTGCTGTCATCTGTTTTTCTAAGTGTATATAACCTTAACCTCTTCGAGGTGTGTGTTAACAGGCTTTTCCTGTGCAAACTCGCTCCATCGTAGACCTTATCTTTACCCTTGGGCCTGATGGGGGTTAAGAGTGAGCCTAGTTTAACACTAAAAAACTCTGTTACGAATTTTATTTTAATATTTATTTTACATAATAATTTTTTAATGAATTAACGTTGATAATTTTAATAAATTATGACTAGTATAATAAAATGGATGTAAGTGGCATATGTCCTGATGATGATGACTGCTTGAAATGCCAAATTTTTCAGAAAAAGGTGTCTAAGGTCAAACCGGATAAACAACACATCTAGAACAATAAACTACTTAGCCATATTTATAAACATTGTACATGTAAATACAATTTCTACAGCTAACTACTAGTTCTTGAAGACTAGTTTAAATTAATATAAAATAATAGCTTAAATTAAAATAATAACTTAAATTTGAGACATGCAATCACAATTGAAAATAAAAACCACTTAAGGTTTTTTTTCCTTTTTCTTACTTTATGGCGGTTACGATGAGTTCGCCAATGACATGTTACGTGTGAAAAGGCTTAATTGGGACACAACTCTGCTTAAAAAAAGGAAATTGATAATACAAGAAATGGTAACAACGAATATTAGATATGTGAATGATTTTGGTCAACTTATCTGTTGAATTACCTAAAACAAAACAAAAGACAGACAATGTTGTTAGAACAATACTGATGTGTTATTATATGACAAAAAAATTATAGTTTAATGTTGTTAGAGTTAATAAAATATGCACAAAAGAGGTATTTGAGAAGATAAGAATGGAATTAAAGTCTATGGGACAAGGGATGTCAGGGGGCAGATAATCGTAAAGAGATGATGACAATTTGGTGCAGTTAAAAAAAATATGGTTAGTGTTTCTCTCATCCATACCACATTCTCACAGAAAGCTCCCTAATCCTGAGTTTAGTTAGGTGAACATAGGTACAGGCATGTCCAATTCTCAACTGGCAGACAATAGAAGTAGCACATTTGTTTGCTTTATTAAATATGAAAAACCAAGTTCTTGATGGAATATTATCTTGTATAGCAGCATAGTGCTTGCCTTTTAGTATTCGTGATGCTTTCCATATCTCATTGCAAGTCATGGGAATAAGTAATATTCAGTGGGGTGCCATTTCAAGTAGCCTCTTTGGCACACAAATCTGCTTTTTAATTTTGACAGATACTACTATGACTAGGTATCCAGGCTAAACAGACAGAAATCCCTTTAAGATGACATCTATACAGGGTGCTTTTTATATCAAGAATTAGAAGAAATTTATATTTACTTTGACATTGGTTAGTCAAAATAGCATATAAATAACTCTTAGAATTGCTAAAAATCACTGTCTTGTCTAGGCCATGTGATTCAACATATTGCGGAGCTTCATGGATTGCAATTATCTCAGCAGTAAAAATGGAACATAATGGAGGGCACTTAAAGCTAAGGATTATTTTAAACCTAAGGATCCAGACAGCTCCACCAGTACAGCCATCATCAGTATTTTTGGATGCATCTGTATATGTGGTCATCCAATTTTTCCGTATGGCTTCTTTTAATTTTAATTTTGCCTCAGGGGAACCTTTTCTAATATCTAGGTCAAGATGAATGTTGTTGACATATAATAGCTTTGAAAGGAGTATTAAAAAGTGGACTTGTATTGTGTGAGAAAATGGACCCCAGAATTTGGAGAAATGAGACTAAGCTATTAAATAAATGTGGACAATCTTTACGGAGCCAGTACCTACTTGAACATAAGAATTTTGAGAGGAGGTGTAGCCTGGGAATGAGAAGAGAGTTGACAGATCTTAAAGAAGAATCTGTCTGAAAGATATTGTCTTGTTATGTTGAGAGGGGGATCAATATACTTTACCTGAAGGGCATTAATCGGGGAAGATTTTATTGCACCAATTATAATGCAGAGACATTTATACTGTATTTTGTCTAAAGTTGTAAGTGATGATTTATTGCATGGCTCTAAAAGAAAGCATCCGTAATCTAAATGACTATGAATGACAGCATTGTATAATAGCTTTTGTGAAAAGGGTTGAGATCCCGACCATGCTAATGAAAGGGAACGAAGAATATTTATATCCTTCTCACACTTTTTAGAAATGTATTCAATGTGGTGTGTATAAAAGAATTTATTATCTAGTACCATACCTAAAAATTTCACCTTGTTCCGAGCAGAAATAGGTAAGCCTTTATATAAAACTGGAATATTAGAGACATTCTTATGACGAGTAAAAATCACTTTACTGCTTAAGGGAACAGAGAGAGATAGACCATGATCAGTTAACCAGTATTGTAAATATTCCATGGTAGAATATAACCAGGAATTAACTGTAGTCAAGTAGTCTGTAGAAATATATAAGGCTAAATCATCTGCATACTGTAGGACATTACAAAATGAATTGACTGCAAGATCTAAATCGAAAGTGTAGATAGTATAGAGAATAGGACTGAGGACTGAGCTCTTCCATAAGGCTCAGACCTTAGCAAGTAGCAAGTTTTGGAAATTTATTAAAATAGACTGGGAAGAGAAAAAGTTTGATATATAGTTTATTATAGGTATACTAACTTCAGCATTTTTGCCTGAGTACAGGAAGAAGTTACTTGTCATATGCAGATGAAACATCGAGAAAGACTCAACAAGGTATTCGTTTTTAGAAAAAGCAATGCTGATGTCAGTCACTAATGCACTGAGGCTATTGAAAGCCAAATTGACTTTTTGGTAAAACATATCTACTCTCTGGGAACCATCCTAACTGATTTTTTATCAGATGTTCAAGTATCTTTGCCATTGTACATGACAGTGCAATGGGTCTGTAACTTGAAAAGTCTTCACTGGCTTTACCCGGTTTGAGAATAGGAAATATTATTTAGGTCTTCCATTCTTTGAGAGGAATTCCTGAGTCAAAAATGTGGTTCATAATGTCAAGAAATACAGCTTTAGTTTTTTTACTGTTTTTAATTATGAATGAGTAAGGAATCCCATCTTCTCCTGGAGAGGAGTCCTTATTACCTTAAAGAACTGTAAATAATTCCTCGTAAGAATAGGGGCATCAAACTCATCTGGAGATTGTATAGAAGGAGAATTAAAAACTAAACATTCAGCAAGTGTGAGTGCTGAAGAAGGGGCAAGATTAAGTGCAAATTCTTCAAGCCAAATTGAAGGGTCATTGGACGATACATTTTGTTCAACTGAACTGCCTTAGAACAGCGATATCTTTTAATGTTTTTCTAGACTACTACACTTAATAAAACAATAAATTTAAGGGAAAAAACTACGACACTCTACGAACAGTTATTACATTCTAATCATGCATTATACAGCCAAATTACAATCTAATAGATTTTTTTTAAATTTGTTAATAAGGTGGCAAGATGTACTAAGATAATTAATGCAGATTCAAATGACCCAAAGTACATTATAAATGTAAAACAGTTTGCAAAGTTTGTTGTCGACTTGGCTGATTCTGTAGCACCTACGGATATTGAAGAGGGCATGCGAGTGGGGTGAGTATTTTAGATTTTACTACTTGAGTGCAAAGTTAATAATCACATATACATAATATTAATTTAATAGTTAACTATTAGTGTTAGTCTTCCATAAGTACATCTGGAAGCTAATTTTTTTTAATTTTTTTGCACCCAGATTTTCTATTACTCTGAATGATTGGATTAGAATTTGTGTGATCGGAGAAAAGTGTGTAAACGAATGAATAAACTAAAAATTTATTCAAAAATGAACAAAGCAAATTAATGTCACGGAATTGAGTGGCAAAGTCGAAAATTCAAATTCAAATTGTTTATTGCATGTCACATTACAAATATAAGATGTTACATTTGATAGGTATACATGTGACGCCCTGCAAGGGCATAGCAACACTAGAGGACTAACTATTTTTGTATAATCTAACTTTTAAACATAAATTATAAAATATCATATCGTCAACATTCAATATTATTCTATATAAATTACTTAAATTAGAAATATAATATAGTCGAAGTATTCTTTCTTTGTCATTGTTTATCGGCAAAAAATTCTTTCAAAGTATAATAACATTTATTAATAAGGAATGTTTTTAATTTTTTATTAAATTGCGCAGGGTTTTCTAGGATTTTTATAGAATTCGGTAAATGGTTATAAATCTTTATTGACATAACGTGGGGGCTAGTCGAAACTAATTTTAGTTTGGAGAAGGGTATCCTAAGCTTATATAAATTTCTATTATTTCTTTTAGTTATTGTAATAGGTGAGTACAATTTTGAGTGTTTCCTGACGAATTTACAAGACTCGAGGATGTAGATAGATGTAAGTGTTAGTATTTTATATTTAATGAAGTGAGGTTTACATGATTCCATTTGGTCTAAATTCGTTAATATTCGTAGACACTCCTTTTGTGATATAAATAATTTGTTTACATCACAAGAGTTTCCCCACAATACGATGCCATAGGAGAGTACCGAATGAGCATGTGCATAGTAAGCCGCAAGGGCAGTCTTAAAATCTGTCACACGTTTGAGGTATTGTAGAGCGTAAATAAAAGAGGATATTTTTTTTACAATTTTTGGATGTGCTGTTTCCAACTCAAATGCGTATCCAGGTCTATTCCTAACAAAGTAGCAGAGTTAACAGTTTCTAGTTTTGTGTTTTTATAGCTATAAGATATTTGTAAAGCAGTTTTTTGGTAGGGTTTAAATTGAATAATTTTAGTTTTATTAAGGTTAAGTTGTAGATTATGTAATTCTAGCCAGTTAGTAATTTTATCTAATGTATAGTTCAATTTTGTTGTTAAATCCGTGGAATTAGTGCAAGAGATTAAGATGGAGATGTCATCGGCAAAGAGCACGCTTAGATCGTCCAGTATGTTTGGGAGATTATTTATGTAAACAAGAAACAAAATGCATCCCAAAACGCTACCTTGTGGGATAGAACCAGTAATGACAGTTGCATCAGATCTAACATGTGTAATTTTGCCAGTCTCGAAGTCGGTATTTTCAATTTCTACATATTGAAAGCGGTTATCAAGATAGGATTTAAACCAATTGTGAGCTACTCCCCTAATTCCTGTTTGATATAGTTTATCCAATAGTGTTCTATAACAAACTCTGTCATAGGCTTTACTCATGTCGAGCAAGAGGCCTACTGCGAATTTTTTATTGTCGATTTCGTCTAGAATGTTTTTTACGTATTTATAAATTGCTAAGGTGGTAGAATGTATTTTTTATTAGTATACATACACCACCACCGTTATGCTCCTCCCGGCAGAAAAATGAGCTTACGGAATATCCCTCTATTTTCAACAGATCTTTCTTTTTTTTATTTAACCAAGACTCTGATATACATATAACATGGAAATAACATTTATCCTCTATGAGTGCCTCAAGAAGGTGAGTTTTATTACAAATACTTTGAATATTTTGAAATATAATATTAAAATGAGTTCCGAAAATTAGAGTTACTTGTTATATTGCCTTTTCTTATTCCCACTCTTTGGCTGGTGGCAGCATGACTCACGTAGTTTGGTCGAGTGGGGGGTGAAGATGGGATAGTTGAAATTCGGTGATTTGTAGGCGGCCTCTCGACCATTTTTGTTTCATCTTTGCCTTCTTTTGTCTGCGCGTTCGTATTGGTTCTCTCATCATTTTGCGGTATATCGGTCGCTTCTTTTCCATTGATGATTAACTTGTTGTTTCTTATAATTGCGTGGTGTCCATGTTGTCGCGCTACGTATACTTAAACTTGTGGACTTAAATACTCTGTCACACTGAAACCAGCTTCTTTTAAATATATATAGTTATCCAGGATGTATTTTTTCATTCTTTTGCTAATTAGTTCGATTTTTAGTGGTCTTTTATAGCTTTTTTTACCTATGAATGTTAGTTCTTCTATATAGCCTGATAAATCTATGTATAGTAGGTCATAAAATATATTTATTACTCTTTCCATTACTTTTTCGTCTGTTTCCCAATAATTCTCTATTAATCCGTGTAGAATTATTACCTTATCATGGGTTTGTTTATATGGTTGGTGTACATTTTCGTGTATTTGTTGGATCTCTTTTTGTAATTTTTTATTTTCATCTTGGAGAGTAAGGCATTTTTGTTCTAATTGCAATATTTTGGAGTTTAAATTCGATAAGTCTTTTTTAAATTGTGTTTGTTCGAGTAAAATTTTATTGAAACTTTGTTTAAAATCGGCTTTGATTTCAGATATAGCGTTTTCTATTTCTTTTTGAAACGAGGATTGTATTGCTTTCAATATGTATTGGTTGTTTTCTTGTAATATCGATGTAATTTTTTTAAGGAAATTTGTTCGTCATCTTTATTAAAACAAATAATCACATCTTTCTCGATTTGGGATTTTGAAGTTTCAAGTGCTACAGTATTTCCTTGGGGCGATATTATAGAGTCATCGTCACTAACTGTTGAGTTTTCTTCATCGAAACGTGATATTTTCTTTCTTTTAGTAATGTTTGGATCTATTGTTACGTTTAAATTTTCAGGATGTTGAGTTCGAATAGGCGTGTTACTGTTGTCTGCTTTTGGTTCATTTGATCGGCAAAATTGGCATTTCCACAACAGCTTGCAGTCTTTTGTCATGATATTATAAAAACGAACTTCAGTTACGTTAGCACATTCGAGATCATAATTTTGGTAACAAATAGAGCATTTCAAAAATCTCCTATCGGGTATTTCTTGACGGCAGCCTGCACACACGCCTGCCATACTGAGAGCAGTAGCGGGAGCTTTGTAACGATTTTAGAAATTTTTAGAAATCTCTCAGCTTTCTACACTAGATGGCGTTACGTAGTTACGTGAGATAATAATAGGGATCCCGGTCTGAATCGATTTACTATAGATGTTTACGCTATTTCACACTAGTTGGCGTTAAGTGTAACTTACGAGATACTTAAACAGTTAGGGTACAAAGTTCATTTCTTAGTTTTCGACAAAGAAAAAGGAAAAGGTACGACCTAGACCGAAGTATGTCGATCAAATTGACGATATATTGAAATCGGCCCAAATTAAAATTAGATAACCAAAGAGCATGTGTACATGGATGTGAAATAAGTGAGAGGGTGGGGGTGCTCTTGGTGACAGGCGTGAGACTTTATGTATATTATATGAATCTACTTCTTATAACTTGACAAGGTTTTTGACATTGTAGTATAAAATAAAACCCAATGCAAAATCATTAAAAGTCAGTATATTTTTTGTTAATTGTTTTTAAATATCTATGGTTTTCTTTTAAAATTTGAAAATATGTATAGATTTTATTGTATTGTACATTGTATCCAACTAGATAGAGTGATGACCTTGGCCTTTCTTTGGGGAAGGTCTTTGTTATGCTGTGGACTTTTGAAGCGATGATGATTAATAATGGTATATAATAAAAATTATTTGCCTTTGCTTAGTGTTTATAATACTTAAATTGTAAAATTGATGTAATTACCGTTGTCGACAAAGGTAGGAGGTATGCTATGAGTTCAAAGCTGCATTTTGTATTTTATTTTATATTAGCGTACTGCCCCGGCTTCGCGTGGGTAATTTCTGGATCTCGATAACAGCGCCACCTGCCGGGTCCAATTGTGAATCTAAACCATCCAGGGACCCTCTCAAACACACTCAAAAAGTTTCATCACAATCGGTCGAGCCGTTTTTGAGTTTTAGTGAGATTAACGGACAGCAATTGATTTTTATATATAGGGTTATTTTGCAATATACGACCAAATTTGCAGAGAAGGTTCAGAATAAGTAATATAGACAAATGTGAAAGAAAAAATAACAAAAGAAAATCTCAAACATTCTGTCCTTTTTATCTTTTAAATTCAAAATGCATGGTAATGCATTATTTTAACCGATTTTACTGCGCACGCACACATTCATAAGGGTCGATCGTTAGGCAAAACCGTTGTTGCCCATAAATCACATTCAAATTGGGATAATTTCAAATAAAATTACAAGCCTTATTTATTCGTATTTTCAAAAGCTACAATAACGGTATATCATCATTTATATATTTGAACTTATGTTTAAAATTTGGCTACTCTGAAAAAACCGGCCAAATGCGAGTCGGACTCGCGCACCAAGGGTTCCGAACAAATCCGTAGGTATATAAGTTTAAAATTATTAAAAATATTTTTATTATATGATGTAACTAAAAATTTATGCTTTTCGCAATTTTTCCTTTATCTGTGCTATAATACGTTGCTTCGTACCAAATTTTAAGATTCTGAGTTCACGGGAAGTACCCTGTAGGTTTTGATGAAATTTTCGGCGTAAACGGCTGTATCTTTTGATTGCGTTGGCTTAGAAGTTTGATTTTTTCACAGCTCCAAGGGATAGTAGACTTGAGTATTTGATATGAATTTCAGCGTGATACCTCCACGCGTTCCTGAGAAAAAGGGTCTTGAAAGACAGACAGACTGACAACAAAGTGATCCTATAATACGGGTTATTTTTAGGGTTCCGTACCTCAAAAGGAAAAAACGGAACTCTAAAAATAACCCGTATATTCACCAACTGATTCTACTTCATAAAATGTTACAGTTTTACTAAATGTGGTATCCGTTTTCGCCCAAGGGCCTGTGTCATTGATGTAACATCAGCTGAGAACTCGGAATAATAATAATGAAATGTTGTATCTATTATGTTGGGAGTTGAGAAAGAAAGTTGTTTAAAGATTTGCAAATTTCTGATAAAAATTCCCGAAATTATTATGTTCAATACTTTTCACTCGGTACAACAAGTTTTAACACTGAGGTATTAAGTTGAACAACAAATAATTAAAGAATCGTCTATAAAATACTTACGCAAAGTTGGGAGAGCAATAAGAGAATTGAAAAGATGGTGAGGATAGACGGTATAGAATGCCCACTATATATAACTCAATGCCTTAGAAAGACAATTTAATTTAAAGAACCATTCGTGTAGTGACAGTGTGTGACCCCATATCGTCCCAAAGGTGTCGTAAAAGGCAACAGAGAGAAAATGAAACAGGAGAAAACTGCGGGAGCCAACACGCTTGCCAAGCGTGGCAACTATGGCAAAATTCATATTCTCATTAGGCAATCTATGAGGGAGGCCTATGTTCAGCTGTGAGATTTAACGGGTTTAGTAAGATTTTTTTATGCTGATAAAATTATTTTCTTCATTATCAGCCTATAAGTTTACTTTTGCGAATGAATTCTTCCTTTGTTAGGAGAATTTGTCATAGTCTTGGCACTTGACTCTTACTTTTGACGCTGCGCTTAACACCGATTAGTTCGATCAGCGTCTGATGTAAACGGTATAAAGCTGGGGTTACCAGAGTTTGGAATTAGGTATCCAGTTAAAGGTAATCGCGTGCGTTAGTCTCGCATAACTCTAAAATGGTTCAACCAATTTTGATGAAATTTTTTGTGCGTATATGAGTGGGTTTATATTCACAATTCGAGTTTCCTAGAGTCTAGTTTACTATCTTAATATATTAAAATTAATGTCTTTTTGTTCGTATTTTATGCGCTGCCATACCGTTCATCAGATTATGGTAAAACATTGTCAACATATTGCTCGCACTTGTGCGAAGGTTTTAGGCATAGTACAATTAACTTACACTAGGTGGCGCGCGTATTTTACCGACAAATTTATTTGTAAGTTATATAGGTATCATTCAATTTCAATGACTGTATTATCATTTCTAATTAAACAATTTAACTCTTCCAAATTTAAATCGATATTCCCACAATTATTTCTTCTGTGGCAGCAACGCGCCGTTTACCAGCTAGTTATAATATGAAAAGATGATGTCCAAGTTACGAGAAAACTGTGACGGATAAACTTCTTAATTATTTCTTTATGGTCAACGGTTTTTTTTTCTCTTTTTAGAGTCGATCGTAATAAATATCAAATTCATATACCATTACCGCCAAAGATTGATCCTACGGTTACCATGATGCAAGTGGAGGAAAAACCGGACGTGACATACAGTGATGTGGGAGGTTGCAAAGAACAAATAGAAAAACTGAGGGAAGTGGTTGAAACACCATTGTTACATGTAAGTTTATCTATAAACATCTTAATAATTTGTATTATTGCTAGAGATCCTATGTCCAGCTGTGGATCAAAAAATTATAATGAATTATTTTATTAATATTAATTGTAATGAAGTATTTTAATTAGTTAGAGTTTTCACTATTTTTATAAATATTTCAATTTTTGCAGCCCGAGAAATTTGTCAAACTCGGTATCGAGCCACCTAAAGGTGTTCTGTTGTTTGGTCCCCCCGGTACGGGCAAAACGCTCTGCGCCAGGGCCGTCGCCAATCGAACTGATGCCTGTTTTATTAGAGTCATTGGTAAGTGATCAAAATTATATAATAATGAGCAGCATCACTTAGTCGTAAGTGTATCTGAGTTGATCCGTTTTGGACTAGGTTCTCGAATGAACATAGATGTTGGTATAATAATTTGAAATGTGGTGCTATAGATAAATACTCACAACTCCTTGGACTGTATATGATATTAATGTATTGAAAACCTCCGCCATGTTTTAAAATAGTTCCCAGTTTTTTAGCCACATTGCGAAAAAGGCCAACGATCATGCTATTAAAAACCTGTCGTGGTTGGTAAGGTCGAACATGAGACCTCGTCAACGTTGTTTGGTAATGCTAAATTCGCACTACACTGATATCGTTGGTCCACAATGCACTAAACATTGCCATAAATAGATTTAAAATATTTATTGCTAGAAAGAATGTAAAAATATCGAGAATTTTGTATTAACATAATTTAAAATTAAAAATTTTGTACAGCCGACTTTAATGTAAGTTATTTAAGAATAACTCAAAAACTATTGGTCTGACCTTGATCAAATTCATATGGGACCACACGAGAAGTACCAGCTTTCAAATAAAAAAAGAATCATCGAAATCGGTTCACCCAGAAAAAAGGTCTGAGGTAACACACATAAAAAAAAAACGAAAAAAAAAACATACAGTCGAATTGAGTACCGGCTCCTTTTTGGAAGTCGGCAGAAAATTGTTATATTTCAAATAAATAAATTTGTGTATGTGCTAATAACTTGAATATCAACTGTAAAATGGTAGGTACAAATTGGACAGTACAAAGACGTTATATGAAAATGTAATGGTTTTTCTATTGGTAGGATTAATTAACATTTAAATACAGCCCCTCAAAAATTTTACTGCTAAACATAGGCCTCTGAATTACTAACAACATTAATGCAATCCAAAATTATTTTAACTATGAATTGACATAGTAAAGGTAACTGTAACAATGTTTACTGTAACTAATAGTTATTTACATTAATATAACTTAGAATATTATATTATTTTTATACAAAACGCAATTATGTATGTTACGGAGAGCAAAGAAAGAAAATCACTTTGAAGTTTCAGCGGTTTTCTGATACAACTCTCCCAGAGCAAATAATGTCTCTGCTATGAACATTCTTGTCACTTTGAGTTTAGTGGCAAGGCTACACATTGCAGTACAAATCAATAGAAAATGTAATTTATGTCAATTTTATGAGAGAAATATTTTATAAAAAAAAAGTCGTAACAGTCACCGCCATCATATGTCACCACTTGTCTACTTTTATAGCCTGATTTAGTTTGAACTACTTATTTAAAATATTTGCTTTAGGTGTTGTGATTATATACTTGGAATTTTACGGATAGTTATATCTGGAATTTTCATTGATTCAAAAGTTAACAATAGGTGTTTAAATTGATCTGGTAATAATCTGGTAACAATAACGACTATAAACTATACCCTAATGAATTTTGCCAAAGGTTCCGAGCTGGTCCAGAAGTACGTAGGCGAAGGCGCTCGTATGGTGCGAGAACTGTTTGAAATGGCGCGCAGCAAAAAGGCTTGTCTCATCTTCTTTGACGAAATTGACGCCATTGGAGGTGCCAGGTAAACACTGGAAACTTAAAAAAGTGGGCACTTTTTCTATTACTGAAACTAACTGTAAAATAATGATAGGGAAAGTCTAGGCTAACGCTATTTTCAGCTAGATGCAGGCTAAGGTTATCCATATCACAGAAAAATATGTAGATATAGGTTGTAGTAACTTATTATTCGCTAAATAAAAACTCGATGGATAATTAGTTCATAATTTTTTTTCCACTGTCAAGGTAAATTTAATTACTTTTAAACAAATTTCAGTAACATTGTATAATAACGTAATTTCTATTTTCCCACTTTTAAGAATTCCAACATCGCGATTATTTTGTAGGCACATTTTATTAACCTCTAACCGTTGTATAAGGAAAGTGATTATCTACATCATAAGTAAAAATTACGGAAAAAAAAATGTTTTTCTTTTCTACGATAAAAAATAGCTGTTTACATTTACAAGTGTCCATTCGCAGAGTATAGTATAATTGCATAATCAGCGCATACGCATTCAAAGGTCGTCGACCGACAAATGTGCGCGTGACATTAGATGAGGCCCAACGATCACAAAGCTTCAACCAGAAAATTTGTGACAGGTTAATCCTTTAGAAACCCTGCTCTGAATAAATACTCAAGACTAATAATTTTGTTATTTTGTTTAAATTTATGCTTGATATTATATAGGTAATGTGCTTGCTAATAAAAAGTTGATAATAATCAAATAAATAAAATTTTCGACAATGGCACTATGTAACTTTCTTATTAGCATTTAAGTGTTCATCTTATTATACTGTGGAGTAATTTAACACTTAAATAATTTCAAGGTTTGACGATGGCGCTGGTGGGGATAACGAAGTACAAAGAACTATGTTGGAGTTGATTAACCAATTAGATGGTTTCGATCCCCGTGGTAACATTAAGGTGGGTAACTAAACAAAAAATAAGTTGGTCTATTTAAATGCATTTTATTTTAATTCCGAATTACATTTAAAATATAAAATTGCATTTTATTTTAATTCCGAATTACATTTAAAATATAAAATTCCAAGAAGGGAACACGACAATTTTCTGTTTCAAAAAAAGTTTCTGCAAATTTCTGTTACAATAAACGTATTAATTTAAGATCAGATAAAGGGTTGCAGGTAATGCACGTACCAAAATCATTATGTTAGTTGCATATAAAATTCCACAGCTACATAACAAAATAGGCTTCCTATAAAGACTGAAGCACGGTTATTGCCACATGTCTCCATCAACTACTTGATTTAATAAACTTCATTATATTTGTAGATTATTCCGGCTAGAATAGTAATTACATAAGTACATTGTTTTCATATATAATAAAAGTTTCAAATGTCATAACAGGAATAGACTAAAGCGATAGTGTAGTTCTATTAACTGTAACAAATTATAAACAATTCAACCCTAGTAAATTTACTCAAGGTGTAACAGAACAGGGCATCTTCAGCCTATTCTTAGCAGGTCAATATCTTCTATTAAGAATGCGTAACGTTCGCGTTAAAGTCAAGGCGCCTTGTTGCGGGCGCGCGGCACGGACAGCAGCGGCCGCCGCCGTTTCACCGTTCGCCGTTTAATACACAGTCCAACCCCACCGAAATATGTCACTATTGTATATTTTTCTTCTAAGTATTTTAAAAATATATAAGGCAAATGCTAGGTCTCGTCTTACTCTCAACTCTTTGTAGCCAAGCATACCGAGAATAAATAACGTCGGGTACGTTAATGGGTACATGGAATACACGCCCATAATAGCGCATATATAGGTATCTAATAAATTTATTTTGCACACGTCAATGCACCGTAAGTATTTTTCGCGGCAACAATATTAACGCGTTACACTCCCGATTACTCCTTACCAGTGATTATACATATTTTATGATAGTAATAGACTTACTTATGGCTTAGTTAAAATAAATGTCGCAGGTGCTAATGGCGACGAACCGACCCGACACGCTGGACCCGGCTTTGATGCGTCCCGGCCGTCTCGACCGCAAAGTGGAGTTCGGACTGCCCGACCTCGAGGGACGAGCGCACATCTTCCGCATACACGCGCGCTCAATGAGCGTCGAGCGCGACATCCGCTTCGATCTGCTGGCGCGCCTCTGCCCCAACTCCACGGGCGCGGAGATCAGGTACGATACGATACGACACGACACGTAACCATGAGTGCGACATCCGTTACGAACTGCTGGCGCGCCTCTGCCCCAACTCCACGGGCGCGGAGATCAGGTACGATACGATACGACACGACACGTAACCATGAGTGCGACATCCGTTACGAACTGCTGGCGCGCCTCTGCCCCAACTCCACGGGCGCGGAGATCAGGTACGATACGATACGACACGACACGTAACCATGAGTGCGACATCCGTTACGAACTGCTGGCGCGCCTCTGCCCCAACTCCACGGGCGCGGAGATCAGGTACGATACGATACGACACGACACGTAACCATGAGTGCGACATCCGTTACGAACTGCTGGCGCGCCTCTGCCCCAACTCCACGGGCGCGGAGATCAGGTACGATACGATACGACACGACACGTAACCATGAGTGCGACATCCGTTACGAACTGCTGGCGCGCCTCTGCCCCAACTCCACGGGCGCGGAGATCAGGTACGATACGATACGACACGACACGTAACCATGAGTGCGACAACCGTTACGATCTGCTGGCGCGCCTCTGCCCCAACTCCACGGGCGCGGAGATCAGGTACGATACGATACGACACGACACGTAACCATGAGTGCGACATCCGTTACGATCTGCTGGCGCGCCTCTGCCCACTCCTCTGCACACTCCACGGGCGCGCAAATCAGGTACGATACGACACTACACGACATGTAAGCGTGAACGCGACATTCGCAACGATTTGATAGCACGCTTCTGCCTCAACTCCACGGGCGTGAAGATCAGGTACGATACAACACGACACGTAAGCGTGCGCGCGCTATTCGCTTCGATCTGCTAGTTCGCTTCTGCCCCAACTCCACTGGCGCGGAGATCATGTACGACACGACACGACACGACTGCCGCGCGACATCCTCTTCGATCTGCTGGCGCGCCTCTGCCCCAACTCCACGCTCGTGGAGATCATGTACGACACGACATACTTATGGACCAAAATTATTTATATTCACAATATACAACATCTAACGTAATTAATGCACATCCTCAGACACACCCAATTAGTATATTATGTTATAAAATCATAATACATACACTAACTTCTTAGTTAAACATGTTTATGCATTGATAATTTATTAAATTAGTTATACTAATTCCGGAAGAATGTTGTAGTCACCGTACAAATCCACGAACACTAGGTATAGGTCATATGAGGGTCTTGCTAGCCCAGTAGGTATTCGCTCGCGTTCAAGACGAGTTAACGCCGCCGCCGCTTGACACAACTGTAGGTAGGTATTAGTGCCGAAAAAAGCTGACAATACATGATTGGTTACGTTAAATAAATACCTACCTATGAAACAGATGTCAGAACTCCGAGCATCGAGTTGTTTATTTAAGTCTAGTAAACATTTCATCGCATCTTTCCATCACACTTTTCAGGCTTTGGACTTTGGACTCTGATTAATTTTGTTTATTGATTATCATACTATGTCAATAGGCAATATTCGTTACAAAATGTTATGAATTTGCATAACATTTTAATTGTAATTGTAAATAATGAACTGCTAAAAGTAAGAGGCGATACGACAACATAATTCAAAGACGGCGTGCTTAAAAGATGTGAATCAAAATTACAATAATTTTAAGAATCAAATATTTAACTTACTGGTAGCCTAAACTTTCATGCAACGCTGTGTTTTTATTACACGTTCAAGATGTCCACCACCTTCTTCAATACATTTTAATGATCGTTTTCTTAAATGATTTTTTAATTTAGAAAGCAATTCAGTGTAATTTTTCACTATCCTATTTTTAGGTCCTCGGCACTTTTTTTATAGAATTAGGGTGACAAACGAGCACACAGTCCACCTGATGGTAAGTAATTGCTGTGGCCCATAGATATCTACATCTATCCTCGATTACGAATCAAAATGCAGATGCGTTGTCACCCGTGAGGACTAAGATGGAATGCCTCATTTCCAGTAAAAAGGGTCTCCGGTTCTCTACACTCACCATACGAAATACAGCAGCGTAAAGCTGCTATTTTACGCTGGTATTCTGTGAGAGCGTGATCCTTCACGGTCGAGCCGACCCATTCGTGCTACATCTAAACTATTAATATAGCTGCAGCATGACTCTACCACGTAAAAATCACTGGCACTTGTTGTCTCACTAAAATGAATTAATGATTTAATACGTCCCCACAAAAAAAAGTCAAGAGGCGTCAAATCAGCAGATCTGGGAGGTCACAGGGCCGCCGCGACCGATCCAAGGCACTCTAAACTCTGTATTTGTAAAGAATTTAACATGCTTGAAATAATGTTCAATTTTATTTATTTTGTATCAAATGGCGGAATTTGTATTAATACAAATAAAACTGCACTTTTAAAAGTCTTATTGCCTTGAGGTACGGTCCATTTCAGTTTGTTTTGACTGTACAGGTTTAGTGTGACTGTAATTTACGTAGTTTTAATTATTTTTGGGATAATAAATTACCTATATTAAAAATGATAGAAATCGATACGGTAAAGGATTCTGAACAAACTACTTTCAGGGTGTGCGTTAATTATGTTACATGTTGTATGTTTGCCGTGTAGTGGCGGTTAAGAATATCCACTACCCCATATCTTCCCGTGGGTGTCGTAAAAGGCGACAAAGGGAAACAGGCAGGAGATGGGCAGCAGCATCTTCCTGATAATAGCCAAAATAACAATAAAAAAACTGCGGTTGCCAACCCGCTCGCCAAGCGTGGCAACTATGGCAATATACCCCCCATGAGCAATGACAATAATAAACGGCCCCTAGTCCCCGACGGCCCCGCTATTCCTGGCTACGGTGGCGACCATGGTAACGGCGGGGCAGGGGGTGCTAAGAATCTCCGGTGGAGGTTCGGTTGCCACCTACGACGACTCGACCTGGCAACATACAACGCACGCACCCTGAGGACTGACGAGAAGATTGTGGAGCTGGAAGAAGAGATAGACAAGTTACGCTGGCATATTATAGGATTATCCGAAGTCCGAAGAGAGGGGGAGGACACGGTAATCCTCGAATCCGGCAACTTGCTCTATTACCGGGAGGGCGACCATCTGTCCCAAGGAGGTGTCGGATTTATCGTCCACAAGTCTCTCGTTAACAACGTTGTAAAGATTGAGAGTGTGTCGACGAGGGTTGCGTACCTTATACTCAGAATCACCAAACGGTATTCGCTGAAGGTCATACAGGTTTACGCACCAACCTCGGCACACCCCGATCAGGAGGTGGAGGAAATGTATGAGGATATATCTAGAGCCATGCATTCCTCCAAAACTCAATATACGGTGTTAATGGGAGACTTCAATGCAAAACTAGGCACAAGAGAGAACGGTGAGCTGAAAGTAGGGAAATTTGGAATAGGGCAACGGAACCCAAGGGGCCAGCAGTTGGCTGACTTCATGGAGAAAGAGGGACTCTTTATGATGAACTCTTTCTTCCAGAAGCGGCCCCACAGGAAGTGGACCTGGTCGAGCCCCGACGGTTCGACAAAAAATGAGATTGACTTCATTATGACGACCAGACGACAACTGTTCAGTGATGTCTCAGTGATCGCGAGGGTGAAAACCGGCAGCGATCACCGAATGGTTAGAGGCACACTGAACCTAAACGTTAAGTTGGAGAGGTCTCGTCTAATGAAGTCAACTCTCCGTCCCCCTCGTGCTCTTATCCAAAGTCCCGAAACCTTTCAGATCGAGTTACAAAACCGTTTTCAGTGCCTAGAAGACTGCAATGAAGTGGACGATTTGAATGACAAGCTCGTGGAAACTGTCCATGCGGTCGGAGCTAAGTTCTGCAATACCCGCCGCATAAGAACAAAAAAACTCTCCGATCACACTCTTAATCTCATGGCTGTTAGACGGGAGATGAAGCTACATTCTTCAACAGATTTAACAGCATACAGGCAGCTGAACAGACAGATCTCCAAATGCATGCGGCGGGACTTACGCAACTTCAATACAGCTCGTATTGAAGAAGCGATCGAGCGGAACCAAGGCTCCAAAGTCTTTGCCAGAGATCTGTCTGCCAGAAAGCGCCAACTGTCAAAGCTGAAGACAGAGTGTGGCAGCATCGTTTCCGGGGCACCTGAGATTTTGAGTGAGATTGAGAGGTTCTATGGGCAGCTGTACACGTCATCGTTGGAGCCGCACGCAAGTGTGAGTAACGATCCAAGAACGAGTCTTATCCGACATTATTCCGATGATATCCCGGACGTCAGTCTGAGCGAGATTAGAATGGCTCTCCAGCACCTTAAAAACGGCAAGGCCCCAGGCGAGGATGGAATTACAGCGGAGCTTCTGAAAGCGGGTGGAAAACCGGTACTTGAAGTCCTTCAGAAGCTCTTTAATTCCGTCCTCTATGGTGGCATTACACCGGAGGCGTGGAGCAGAAGTGCGGTGGTCTTGTTCTTCAAGAAAGGCGACAACGCTCTCTTGAAGAACTACAGACCGATTTCCCTTCTGAGCCGCGTCTACGTGCTGTTTTCGAGAGTCATTACGAATCGTCTCGCGCGCAGACTTGACGACTTCCAGCCTCCCGAACAAGCCGGTTTCCGAAAAGGCTTTAGCACCATAGACCACATACATACCCTTCGGCAAATTGTACATAAATCCGAGTAGTACAATTTGCCACTATGTCTGGCGTATGTGGACTATGAGAAAGCCTTTGATTCCGTCGAAATTTGGGCGGTGCTGCAGTCCCTTCAGCGATGCCAAGTTGACTGTCGGTATATCGAAGTGTTGAAGTGCTTGTACAGTAGGGCTACGATGGCTATCCGAGTACAGAACCATAGTACGAAACCTATCCAATTGCAGAGAGGTGTAAGACAGGGTGACGTCATATCCCCGAAACTCTTTGCCGCTGCATTGGAAGATGTTTTCAAGCTTCTGGACTGGAAAGGATACGGTATCAACATCAATGGCGAGTACATCACTCACCTTCGATTTGCCGACGATATAGTCCTTATGGCAGAATCTCTGGAGGACCTAAGCACTATGCTCAATGACCTCAATAGTGTTTCCCAACGGATAGGTCTTAAGATGAACATGGACAAAACAAAGATCATGTTTAATGTCCATGTCACACCTATGCCGGTAGTTGTTGGGAACACTAAGCTCGATGTTGTTGACGAGTATGTTTACCTGGGACAAATAGTCCGACTAGGTAAGTCCAACTTCGACCGAGAGGTCAATCGACGGATTCAACTCGGTTGGGCAGCGTTCGGGAAATTACGGCACATCTTCTCGTCAGGTATACCTCAGAACTTGAAAACGAGACTGTACACCCAGTGCGTGTTGCCAGTGATGACATACGGAACTGAGACGTGGTCCTTCACTGCTGGCCGGATGAGGAAGCTCAAGGTCGCTCAGCGAGCTATGGAGAGGGCTATGCTCGGAGTTTCTCTGCGTGATAAACTCAAAAATGAGGTTATCCGCAGTAGAACTAGAGTGACCGACATAGCCCAACGGATTAGTAAGCTGAAGTGGCAATGGGCCGGCCATATAGCTCGAAGAACCGACAACCGATGGGGAAGAAAGGTTCTCGAGTGGCAGCCTCGTACCGGCAGGCGAAGTGTAGGGCGTCCCCCCGCTAGATGGAGTGACGACCTGGTAAGATATGCAGGAAGTCGATGGATGCAGGTGGCTCAGGACCGTGCTTTGTGGCATTCTTTGGGGGAGGCCTATGTTCAGCAGTGGACTTGTGAAGGGCTGTAATGATGATGATGATGTATATTTATTTAGTGCTAAAAAATAAAATTGCAATACCTGTACCCGATAGATAGCGCTGTAGTTGAAATATTATTAAATTTTATATTTTCACTATAAAATTCCGGAGTGGTTTTGCAGGGATCATCGTTGCCAACTCTACGGATTTTTCCGTAGATCTACGGAATTTTTTCACTGTCTACGGAACTACGGAATTTGAGTTGATATCTATATAATTTGATTTCCATGTTAATTATTTTTTTTTGTACTTGTACTTTTTTACTTGTACTCACAGTCCTTTCAGAATAATTAGATTTTTAAAAACAACAAAAAAATACTTTTTTTTTATCATGAGTGTGAACTCAGCCGACAACCGACAGTCGAAAACTTTGAAAAATCGAACTATCCAGAAATATTTAAGTGATAATTATTTTGTTTTTTTACTTAAAATAATTTAATTAAAAGAAAACAATTAATTTTTAATAAAAAAAATTATGGCACTTATTTCTTATATGTGCAGCTTGATTAGATGTTATACTACAATTGACCTTACAACAAGAGCATCTACGGAAATTTTTTTACCAATTTACGGATTTGGAAAAATTCGAGTTGGTAATACTTGTACATTACATGATTTTTTTCACAGGTCTGTGTGCACGGAGGCGGGCATGTTCGCGATCCGCGCTCGACGCAAGGTCGCTACTGAGAAAGATTTCTTGGAGGCCGTCAACAAAGTCATCAAGTCCTATGCGAAATTCTCGGCCACGCCGCGCTACATGACCTACAATTAATTACAATGAAAATTACTATCCATTTGTATGCCAGTTTGGTTTTTTGGATATTAATTTTACTCCAAGTGAAGCGCAGGGCGAAACGCTGAAAATTAATTAAAAAGTATATACTACATACTATAAATAAAAATATTGAAATAAAATTTGTGTTTAATTTGATCATTAGTTTGTAGTTATTTGTTGATTTTTTCCCTCGTTATTTCATCTTTTTTTATGATTTTGGATAATTTTGGTGATATGTTTTTGTAAATCGTGTCTGACTTCCTTTAATCTGAATACATCTGGACGAATTTTAAGTGCGTAAAGCCGCGTCTCAACTAAAGAAAAGTTACCAACTTTTGTGTTGTCAACACGTGTTGGTAACAAAGGTTTCTGTAATTACCTAATGTTGGCAACAAAACTTGTAAACAATGTCGGGAACCGTGTTTCCATTCACGGCGGCAACATCAAAGGAATACGCTTGTTGCAAACATTTGTTCCCTCTGTGGAGACGCTTGTTGGAAATATTAGTCGGCAACATGTCTGTCACGTGGACGAAGGAGTTAATCAACACGTTAATTAATTTATATAGTTCACAAAATATATTATAGTACTAGCTGTTCCCCGCGACTTCGCCCGCGTGTGATTTAGGGTTTAAATTATGTTGCGCGGAACCTTAGGATAACATCAGCTATCTGCCAGTGAAAGTCCCGTCGAAACCGGTCTAGCTGTTTCGGAGATTAGCCGGAACAAACAAACAGACAGACAGACAAAAATTTTAAACATTTGTTTTCGGTTTAAAGATCTTTATTTCTCAATAAGACAATCGTCACTTACATGAGAACAATAATTAAATAAACATAGTAATAAAAATTTGTAGTGCGGGTATATATAAAACTCTGTTGGATGGCATTTTTAAGAAGCGAATATCTTTGTTGCTTACTCGAATTGTAAGGTGGTGGTCCAAGTTAAATAATGTGTTTCGCTTTTATTTGAAAATGATGTTGATTAAGTACTTAGCTGTTGTGAGCATAGGTAGGCAAGTATCTTCTGTTTGAAAGCATTCAAAGATTTCACCTCCTTTACAAATTTAGGTAATTTGTTGTATAACTGTGCTCCCTTATACGTTATACCTATTATTTTTACCATAGTTTGTTCTTATAAACGGCAAAACAAAGTGACTAGCTCGGCGTGTTATGTATTTGTTTGTTTGCTTCTTTGTTAAAAATGTGAGTTCTGAGTGAATTAATTTATGTTTTATTTTGTATATTAGTATGCATGTGCTATATGTATAAAGCTGAGTAACGTTCAAAAGTTTAGTTTCTTTATATATTATTTTAGTTGGTGTCAAAAAGTCATAGTTATACAAAATTTTTATGATACGATTTTGTAGCACTTGGATAGGTTTGAGATTGGTTTTAGCGGCATTGCCCCATACCTCTACAAGGTAAAGTAAGTGAGGTTTTACTAAAGCATTATATATTAGGATTCGGGCTTTTTTCGGAATACAACGGACTATTTTGTGCAGGCGGCCAACGAGAGAGGAAAGTTTATTTTTAATGTGTGTAAGATGTGCATTCCAAGTTAAATTACTGTCGAGAATCAATCCAAGGTATTTTTCTTGATTTTTTCTTTGTAACATTTCTCCGTTTATTGACAAAGTGAGGTGGTTAGGGAGTTTTTTGTTCTTGGCGCTGAAAACTATATATGAGGTCTTGGCTATATTGATAGTTAAGAGATTATACTGAAACCATTGATGCAGTAAGCTTAAGTCTCCTTGAGCTAGTGTTATGATATGATCGATATTGTGTCCAAAATAGAATAAACACGTATCATCTGCGTAAAGGGATATTTGACCTTGTAAGCCTGCTTGGTGTATGTTATTTATGTACACAAGGAATAGCAATGGACCGAGTATAGAACCCTGAGGAACGCCACACGTTAGAAGTTTGGGACTACTTTGAATGGACCCAATTTTTACAACTTGGTAACGATTGCTTAAATATGATGCCATCATTTTGTATACCTTTCCGGTGATGCCAGTACTTTCTAGTTTTTTTAGAAGCAAATTATGGCTCACAGTGTCGAAAGCCTTTTTTAGGTCAACAAATATTCCCAGTGCTACTTGTTTTTGATCAATTTTTGTTTTTATCGTAGTTACCAAGTCAATTGTTGCTCCCAGGGTACTAGATTTGGCTCGAAAACCAAACTGTTTGTCATACATAAAGTTGATTTCAGTTAAATAGTCGTCTAGTCTCTTGTATATGATTTTCTCTAAAATTTTAGATAGTGTAGGTAGAACTGATATTGGGCGGTAATTTTCCGGGCTAGATTTTGTACCAGACTTATAAATTGGAGTGATCTTGGCAGTTTTGAGGTTGTTCGGAAAAATTCCTTCAGCTAATAATCGATTTAGGCAATTAGTTATATTTTGGACTACTAAATTGTTGATACATTTGAGAGCCTTGATACTAACTCCATCTAGACCCACACTAGTATTGGGATCTAGGTCATTTATTATTTTCCTTACTTCAATGGCAGTGCATGGATCGAATTGAGACAGTGTACGGTGCGACATGCTAGGATCAAGACTCGGTACTGTGTGTGAAGTGTTTTTATGGAACTTACTTGGTATTTTGTTTGCCAGTTGTGTTCCTATGTTCGCAAAAAATTCGTTAAATATTTCACATATTTCTAGGGCATCCGAAATTATGAGACCATTTTCATCTTTTAGATTTGGTGGAGCACAGTTATCTACATTATTGTTATTTGACAGTGTTTTTATAAGATTCCACATTTTTTTAGGTTTGTTGATACATTTTGTGAATTCGCCGTGAAAGTAATTTTCCTTTGTGGTCTTGATTTTTTGTTCCAGGGTATCTCTTTTAGTTTTGAACTCATTTTCTAATTGTTTATTTTTTGGATCACGTTTTAGTTTGCTCCATAACACATTCCTTTCGTTAATACCTGCTATCAATTTTCTGTTAATCCAATCTTTTTGGGGTTGATTTAATATTTTAATTTTTTTTTGTCTTGGATTCATTAATGAGTTTCCTAATGTTTTCATCAAAGTCCTTGTAATCGTGTGTATTAATTTCGTCGCTTGATGTCTTAACCATCTCGTATAATTTCTTAAAATCTGTAGACTCTTATTGTATTCTTTGTTTCTTTGGGGTGATTACTCTTTTCAATTCCACATATATATTTTTATGGTCTGATAACGACGAGTCAATTATAGCCATATGAAAACTGTTTTCATTTAGGTTAGTAGAAACATGATCTATTATTGTACACGTTGTTGCAGTTTCTTTTGTTTTGTTCTTTTGTTGCAGTTGTTTTTGTTATAAGTACCGTATATACTTTCATATGCATTTAGTAAAAAGCTGGTATTTTGACATTACAAACAGACACTTCAATTTTATTTATTTGTATAGATGTGTGTAATCAAAATTATAAAGATAAAAATAAAAAAAGGATGCATGGAAAAATACCTTTTGGTTATTTGAGAGGCCATATTTGAATAAAAACTCAAAAATAAATATCAAAAGTGCCTAAATTACAGATTTATTATTTGATTAGCGTCCCGACCATAGTTTTCGATTTTTTTCGCGTATGTATAATACCAATGACTTTAAAAAAACGTTCAGTGTAAGTAGATCTCCCAGTACTAGTGACTGCCTACTAATTCAAGATTAGCATATACTGGTTCACTGTTTAACACTTGGTCGAAATAATCTGTTATATCTATGTAAACTGTCCCTGCGATACAGGAGAAAATCCTAGTGTGGAGGTAAGTTTTTTAAAAGGAGAGGAAGAGAGACTAATGAAATTAATAATTTTGTGCAACCGACTTCAATATTAATACGCATTATTAAGGATAACTCCCAAAACTACTGGTCAGATCTTGATCAAATTTATATGGTATGTATAAATTTTAAGCACCAGCTTTCAAATAAAAATAGAATCATCAACATCGATTCAACTAGACAAAAGTTCTAAGGTAACACACAAAAAATACAGTCAAGTACCTCCTCCTTTTTTTAAATTGTCGGTTAAAAATGGTAAGTAGGTAAATTATCTGAGTTTCAAAGACGTTCACGTTGTTATAGTCTTATTTTTTCTCAATGTTGCATAATAACTTTCCTCACATTGAACAATAAAGTTTTTATTATCTGCAAATTGATGGCTTTTTTGTATAAAATTATAAATATTGAGGCTGCCAGCATAATATCGTCACTTGAAGAGATACTGTTGCCAACAAAACTTTGGTGGAGACAGCAAGTTGTCAACTAAAATGTTTCTCAAATTGTTGGCGATATGTTTCAATTCGGTGCGGAAACATCGGGAACAAAACTTGTAACTTTTGTTAAGTTGCAAACAGTTGGTAACATTAAATGCCAACATTTTCGGTGGATTCGCGGCTTAATACCTTAAAATGTGTGTTCATCTGCGCTGTTTCATGGGCTACGTTCATAAATTGATTAATTACAACTCCACTGCTGAACAAAGGCTACTCTCAGTCTCTCCCATACACAGACAGCAGCTGAATATGCGGACATGATCCTAATTTACGGAGAATGTCGTCAAAATGCCGCCCTTGCGATATGGACATATCGTGAGAGATATGGCGATTCAAGACAACGCCCTACTCTCTCTTCAGCGCATCCGTGAAAACCGGCCAGTGGATCCTAGGTCTCAACGCTGTGATCGACCGTCTATATGACAAAACCCAATCCAGTTAACTGAAAATGTGATAGTCTCCGCCAGAGTACTAGGCATTTTCCAGTCCATCACAGAACCGTCCATAGGATATTTAAGCGCGAAAAGTGGCAACAATTCAAGTTTAGAAAAGTACATACTCTGCTATCGCGTGATAAATTAATAAGAGTGAATTATTGTCAGTGGTTACAGGTGTAAAATTGAAGAGGACAGTGACTTTCTTTCCCAAATTTGTTGGACTGACGAAAGCATGTTCACCAGAAACGGAACGTGGAACCAGTACAATCTGCACCATTGGGCACCCAAAAACCAAAATCCGCGCGTTTGGCGGGAGTCAGCCCATCAGTAGGTACAGATTTTCGGTAAATGTTTGGGCAGCTATTCACGGTGACAACATCATCGGACCCGTATTCATTGATTTGGGCTTTGAATGGAGAAAGGTTTGTTAATCTACGAAGTAATACGGTGTCAGAATACACAAACAACCTAAACGTCCATCGATACCAACGAATGTGGTACCAATTAGGTGGCGCGCCAGCACACTCTGTAACAACAGCCAGGCAGTGGCTAAATGACACGTTTGATGCACAATGGATGGGTAGATTTGGACCTGTGGCCAACAATATCGTCAGACCAGATTTTTTTTCTGGTGGTGCATCAAAGACGATGTCTACGCGGAGAACGTGCCTTTTTAACAGGGAGCAAAAGAGCGAGACTTGATTTTCGCAGACCAAAGTTAAACATATTAAGGCTAACCTAATAAAGCACAGTGACCGTGTAAGAATATCACTACCCGATATCGTCCCGTAGGTGTCGTAAGAGGGGACAGAGAGTTGGGCCAAACCGCCTGTCAAGCATAGCAACTATGGTTTTGCCATAGTTGCTATAGGGAGGTCTACATTCACCAGTGGACTTTTCTGCCGACTTCCAAAAAGGAGGCGGTACTCAATTCGACTGTATGTTTTTTTATGTGTATTACCTCATAACTTTTTACTGGGTGGACCGATTTCGATGATTCCTTTTTTATTTGAAAGCTGATACTTCTCGTGTGGTTCCATATGAAGAGATGAGATTTGTTGTACCTACGCGTAAACGAGATGATATATTGTACTGATATGTATTCCATAATATGATTATCATATTCATATTAATCTTTATAAGAGGTATGGATTTGTCCTAACCATCAAATCAACAGAACTGGAACAGTCTCACCTTTCAATAGTATAAGGCGAGCACAAAATCGGTGAAATCAAAAGGCAGGTCTATAACAGTTTACACGAGGTAGAGCCATGGTGCAGTTATATTATGGTCGTGGCGCGAATGGGTTGGCTCGACCGGGGAAGGACCACACTTTCAGAGAATACCAGCGTGAAATAGCAGCTTAATGCTGCTGTGTTTTGATCAAAATGCAGATGCGTCGTCACCCGTGAGGACAACATGGAATGCATTTTCCAGTAAAATGGATCTCCGGTTCTCTAAACTCACCATACTTATACTGTATTACTTTTCATCGAGTCTGACTGTAAGTTTTTAAACTTATAAAACTAGATTGAAATTCCAATTTACCTGCATCATCTTTTTTATTCTTCAACTGTTTTTCGTTATTCGAGCTTTCGAACAAACTAAACTCTTCGGGGGGCATCGATTAAAGATAACTTTTTTTTCTTTCGTCTAATTTAAAATAACTTTTTAAATTTATAATTTATACTACGAAATATTTATGGAACGCACAATATACTTAGTCAAACAGAGGAAACGAACGTTGTAACTGACACTTCTTGAATTACCTCAATCAAATAAAGCAAATGTTGTGCTATGGCTATGTATAAATGTTGGATGTTGTCACCAACGTGTGCGTTCTCATTATACGATCGTGTCGTGACTTGCTCCACATCTGCATCCGCATAAAAGATCCGAATTGATTTATATGGATGAGGATGCAGATTCAGATGTGTAAATCAATGCGAATGTTCCGCATTTTCGGATGCGGAACATTCGAATATCCGCAAAATCCCTTGTATAATAAAATATATTCACGATTTTAATTTTAAATGCTCAGATTATAAAGCGTATTTAAATATTTTATAATCTGAGTTGTTTTATGTATAATGTAATATAAAAATCTGAGATAAAAAATCACGTACGAAGTGAAACTTCTTAACAACATTTATTCTTCTTTTATTTTATATTTTACATACGTAGGTTAAATAATATTAAACTCGTACAGCCCCAGCGGTGAAACGTTACAAGATAACGTGACGTTTTATTTTTAGGGTTCTGTACCCGAAGGCTAAACAACGGGACCCTATTACGAAGCCTCCGCTGTCCGTCTGTCTGTCTGTCAGCGGGCTGTATCTCATGATCCGTAAGAGGTAAACAGTTGAAATTTTCACTCAATGTGTATATCTGTTGCCGCTATAACAACAAATAATAAAAATTAAAAATTAAAGGGGGTCTCGTGCTAGAAATATGTGTTTCACATAGTATTAAATCATGTACGACGGTATGGAACCCTTCATGCGCTAGTCCAACTCGTACTTAGCCGTTTTTTTTAAATACGGTACTAAATTTCTCTACAACATCGATAAAGATGTTTTACTTCAAAATACAGTTATTATAGTAGTACTTAGATGTTTTTATATTTTTTAATACGTCCTTGTACTCGTACTATTATTTATTCTGTGATTATCTTACTATAATGTAACTATTATACCTAAATGCGTTTATGCATACGATTTGACCAAATATTATTTGTCGAGTCAGTAACATAGGTACCTACGTAAACAGGGGTCAATCATAATCTTGTTAATTTAATGATGATTAATTTTAATTGTGGGTATATGATTCAAAAGCATTACATATTTTTATTAAATTAAAAAGGAGGTAGGTATGTCAAAAATGTTAAATGATTATTTCGATCTAATGTGAAATTTTGTTGTTTTTCAAACAAATATCGCTTAATATAAGAATAGTAACAATAAGTGGCAATATTAACAAAGTAAATTATAAACAAAGAGTTAAACACTAACATAATGACGGAAACGGTATGAATTTAGTTTTATTTGCGGAAGGAATGTTTAAGTTCAATGTTTTTAATGACTTTGATTATTTTTCATTTCATCGAAAGTAAGGAAGTTCATTTAATTTTATTTGTTCCCTAAAGATTTTTTAATTGTTTGTACACAGAATTTAGAGCTAGAAAACTAGCTTCAAGTAGTTTAGCGGCTTCAAAATATTTAAATTATTACTGTATTCCATCTATACATTAACATTCGTTGTTCGTGCTTGGATTTCTCTGTAATACCTATTAATAGAATTCTAGAAATGTTATTTAGAGTAATATGTTCACGAGGATGCTATGAAATGCATGTGTATGATATACATAGATAATTACTATTAATTTACTGTTTAAAAATCTTATCCAGGATCCATATACTGATGTGGTGGAGCTGTGCGCACTGCTACAATGTCTGGGCTTTTCCATTAAATCTTTAGAGACAAGTGACGGCAACGTGAGTCAAGACGGTGGCGTCAGGACTGTCGTCATTAATTGTCAGGTAATGATTTTTTATGAAGATTCCAGTCCACTTCACATGTTTACTACATATTTTACCAAGTCAGCCAACACGTATTAGGGCTACAACCTCCTCTGCTCTAAATCCTTTTTATCAAGAAAAGAAACCTTCTTCTTTTAAATTATGGCTTCTCTTGATAGAATTCTGCCAGTGTCAAGGCAGTCATGGGAGTGACTAGTAAATATTTATTACATTAAAGAGTTCTCAATTTTACGAATGGGTTCACAATCTACAACAAAAGACGTCACATTTTTAAATACCATCACCAAAATAGATTAGTAATTTTACAGTTTAATATTATTAGTACGAATAAAATCACACAAAATATTTAGAAAAAGAGTATACACTAGGGACAACAAATACTGGAAACTTACAGGACGCGGGACGTAATTGGGCAGGATATCATAGAGAGAGTGAGAAAGATTAGGACACTCAAAGAACAGATGATTTACGGATCCTTCGTCTAACCAACATTCACAGATTGAGCTATCCCTAATCCTTAGTTTAGCCAAGTGTACCAGAGTACAAGCATTTCCAAAGCGAAGGCGGCAAACAGTAGAGGTGATTGTTTTATTAAAGTGACGATATTGAAAGAACCAGGGTTTTGATGGGATATTAATTTGGCCTTTGGAATAGTGTTTACATTTTAAAAGTTTAGACTGATGCCAGTTACTTTGCCATGTAGACAGAAGGCTGGATCCAGCCATTAGTAGGACGTCATATGTATAGAGGCATTGCTTAGGGAGGGAGCCAGATGTGGTGACTTCTTCTTTTGATTAGCTAAATGATCCACAATTTCATTACCCTGAATCCCGCAGTGGCTAGGGACAAACCACTCCTAGCCTAGACAATTTTCAGCCCTTTTTATGGCAGTTATAGAGAGACTTTCTAATATTTAAAATTAGGTGGTATCTTATTTTAGAGGAAAAAAGACCTGATTTGTATAAAAGGTTAATCTGTTACTTTTTTTTAAATGTGTGTTGCCATAGATTATTGATAAGTCTTCCCAGGCTCTGACTAGATACCGCGCTTCATGAAAGTGACAGCTCCGTTAATGCGGCATCTCAATATTGTAGTGTGTATAAGACAATTTGCGAGGATGCTAGTGTGCGTGAAAAATTGCATATACCAGCAGCTTAACTATTACCCGATTAACGGGAAAATTTATTTTTATAACGAATGTCAATATATTTTGTGCATATTATGTATAGGTTTTTCTTCGGAATAAATGACATATAAATGATAAGGCCTCATTTTTATCAGTTTAATTTTTTTTATTTACATGTCTAATATTCGCAAATTACTTTAAAAAATAGTTATATATATGGTGTGATCAAAATAGTGCTTTCTATTTCTATTCTCAGCGTCAATGTGAACAACTTTTATTATAGATATATATCGTCGTAATCGTAAGAAAAATCAGGTCTTACATTTTAAACAAGTTTGTACGAAATTTTGTATGGAATAACTGACTTTGAGATTTCCTTTATAGGATCAGGGTGACAAACGAGCACACAATCCATCTGATGGCAAGTGGTTACTGTGGTCGATAGACATTTACATCTATCCTCGATTAAGAATCAAAATGCAGATGCGTTGCAACCCCTGAGGACTAAGATGGAATACCTCGTTTCCAGTAAAAAGGATCTCCAGTTCTCTACACTCGCCATACCGAAACACAGCAGCGTTGAGCTGCTATTTTACACTGCTATTCTGTGAGAGAGTGGCCCTTCCCCGGTCGAGCTGACCCATTCGTGCTACAACTATACCAGTAATATAGCTACAGTATGGATCTACCACGTATGAATTGAAAATTTCGAAGATGATCCCATATTAAAAATTATTCATTTTGACGGGCAGAGTCATTCCCTAAGTTATCCGAGTACTATTTTGTTACACCTTTACTTAGTATATAAGATCAGGGAAAAAGTTCCTTCGTATTTTGTATACAAATTCAAGACGTTTTTGTTTTAAAGTTTTATTACATTTAATTATAATATATATGGGTCCAATCTGTTCGATAACTTGTTGCCATCTTGTAGGTAGTGACATAATAAAAAATAAACGTTGCTGTAGAAATCTTGGGATTTTTGATTAAAAAATCTCACAAGTAGTTTTATTTGATATATTCAATACCAGAGATTTAAAGGAACGTGGATTTAGACATCCCATTTATAATGAAAAAATAATAATAATATTTTTAATTATTTAGAACACGCGAAACAATATATTATAAACTTAAATATTAAAACCTTCAGAAAGCTTTCTTTTAAAGAACACAAGCAACAAAAGAAAATAATGATTAAAAGTTTTAAACCAGTTTTAAGTACTCAAGCTAATACTGGCTTTTTAGGAATGTTAGTGTGTATTGATAGTCTCAAACAGATAGCTACTCTTGTGACCTGGCGTTTTCATGATGAAAGACCACTCCTTTTCTGATTATCAATGCCGGCCGTTTTCTTTTTCTATTTCTTGCTTGTCGCATTATTTGTTGGTAGAGATCCGAATCGATGGTTTTACCCGGCGGTGAAAGCTCATGATAAACGATGATACCCTTTCAATCCCACCATACACACAGAATCATTTTATTGCGTGTTAATCCAAGTTTCGCTTTAGTCTGTAAACAAAACACATATCAATACAGAAAAAAAAATCACGTTTCTTGTATGGTCTTCATACAAGAAACGTGATTTTTTTGGGGCCTTTAATATTTTATTTTATGTTATGTTGTTATAGCAGCAAAATAGATACACATTCTGCGAAAATTCCAAGGATCTACATATTACATTATTTATTTACAATAAAATAAACAAAATTCTCAATATATATAGAATAGAATAGAATAGAATAGAATATTTTTTATTCAATATACATTACATGTGTAATTCTTATTGAAAGTCATTTTTTATTTTATTTTATAACACATTTTATTTTATAAAATGAATAGATATAATTGTAAACAGTTGTTAATAAAATAGTTAAAAAAATTAAACTATGAAAAAGCAGAGGCTATTTTACAATGCATTAGTTAGACACTACAATATTAGTAAGCAAACACACAATACACACACACACACACAAACACACACACACACACACACACACACACACACGCGCGCGCACGCACGCACGCACGCACGCACGCACGCACGCACACACACACACACACACACACACACATACACACACACACACACACACACACACACACACACACACACACACACACACACACACACACACACTACATACTTTTCTTTAATAGTTTATTATATCTTACGGATTAAGTTGATCACTATCTGTATTATGGCTATGGAGGAGCGGGATCTTCTGGCACAGGTGTTTTTACACTTAAAAGAAGATTCCAACCATGTTTCAAGATAATTGTAAAGTTTTAGTTGATCAATAAAGATTTTATTATTATTATTATTATTACGGTTCATAAGATACAGCCTGCTGACAGACAGACGGAACAATAGTGGAGACTTGGGTCCCGTTGACACTCTTTGGGTACGGAATCCAAATAAACAGTAATTATGTCATTTGAGCAATACTACTAAAATAAAAATTAAATAATATAGAATTAGGTTATAAGTTAAATGTATTATATATTATATTAAAAGTGTAGTAACAATAAATTCACATATAAAAATCTCAGGCACGGGGAACTTTATTTTTGTATATGCGGCATCACTGAAAAAGCGTCATTCATATTTTGTGATTTATTTATGACTCGTGTCATTTTATGTTAAAATTTTGAAATTTTATGATACTTACTGATAGTATGTGATTCCAGTGTCTTCCTTATTTCTTGTAGTATTATTTTTACAGTTTCAATACGTAAACTGGTATTTTACTTCGGATTATGATCAAAATTTGATTAAATATTTGGTACGTCCACCTCACATGTCGCCTGCAACTTAGTGTTCTGTGCCTGCAACGCGACTGGCTCGGGTACGCCGATTTCGGCGTAGTATTTGTTGTCGCATTTTACATGAGCGCTGGCGGTATCTAGTCAGGGCGCGCGATGACTTATCATTAATCTATGGTGTGTTGCGTAAAGTTCTTTCTCTTCTTCTTGTTCATTATCAGCCAATAAAAGCCCACTGCTGAATATGGATCTCTTCCGTTGTAGGGAGGATTTCGTCTTTATCGCCATGCTTGGCAGGAGGACTGATGATGGCAGTACCAGACGTTTTGTATCTTTGACTGCTTTACCTCGCCAGTCTGCAGTGGTGGCCAAATTTACTTTCTGCAATCGTTAACGCTAATAGAAAAGTATAAGAATGAATGCTAATGACATATTATTATGTCAACATTAAGTCAAGCGTGACGTTTAACGTTGATTCATTTATATAGTTTTAGACGAATTAAAAAATGATGAGATTCTCAATTTGCCTGTGTGTTTTATCAATCTATGTCTATTTTATGATTAATTTTTTTTTAAATTTCCGTTCAAAATTGAAGCATCAACATAATGAATGTGTGCGGTTTCCCCACACGCAAACAAGCAAATGAGTAATGTTTGCAAGTAAATGACATTTTCCCCAAAAAGTGGGGAAATTGTAATAGTAGACATAGTCATAAAATTAATATTTAGGTTGCGTTTAGAATTATTTATTAATTATTTGCAAAGAGAGAAATGTAACATTATTTATTTTTGTTAACTAATATAATATTTAAATTATTTATATAGGTACATAATGTCTTGTGTTGTAATATATATTCACAAATCTATTACGTAATTATATTATTCTGTTAAACGTGGTATATTTATATAAATATCTGTTATTTATCTTCCATAAAATCTTACATAGTACATTAGCTAATATATTTAACTTTATAATGTCCATGGGAATATTCTTATTATTTGTAATTATTATTATTACTCCAGAGCCTTAGCCCAAGCGTATCATATAGAGAAGTAGAATAAATGGCGAAGGCAAATGACTACGTCAATTTCTTGCAGTTTTTCCAATCCA